TTCTGCATCCTAAAAAGCATTCAGGAGAAAGGAATAAAGGCAGAGAAACAGGAGGATCTGAGAGAAAACTGGGAAGAGGGAGATGGCTAACGGGAGAAGAGACCCACCTTGGGTGAGAGTTCTAAATTATATTCTTTTTTTTTTTTCTTTACTTAGACCCTCTTTTGGTCTGTGACTGTAGATTTGTCCATGATGAAGGTGTCCTGCTCGAACAAAGTATCACAGAAATGAACTTTGGACTTCATCTAGGGCCTGTAATACCTGAGGAAGAAACTAGTATTTGAGCAGGTTGAATATGTTTCCTCTTGTGAGCTGTAGGACAATTTATAAACTGTCCTACTGAGGGTTTTGAGGCTTTTGTGAGTCCTTAGAACTGGTTTAGAAGTGCTTGGGGAATTGAGAAAAGCCATATCTACAGGCCATCTGTGTTTGTGACTAGTACAGAATGCTTATTATATCATCCTCTTTCTTTTACATTTTCTGCTATTTCTGTTCTAAGTCGCGGAGTTTGTTGGGAACCTCCCAGACAACAACAATACTACATGGCTGTGTCCTGCTAGAAAGGCAATGCTAGGCCTTGGTAGTGGAAAGTTGAATTGATGAGCAATAAAAAAGATATAGAAAGAGCAACCATGGCAGGAAATTACTGACAATGTGACAGACAAAAACTGACGGTTACTGGCCAGCAACAGGTCAGAAAGATAGTGAGTGCTGTGCTCAGTACTCTGTACTTTTGGGACTCTTGATCTGAAAGCACGAGCAAGATAATGGGTAGAACTAGAGAAGTACCTTTGACAGCTGGATAAAGTAAACAAGGTCTGCTTTGAGTTTGAAGTAGAAGATCTCAAAATTAAATACAAGTTCAGTGTAGCTACTTCATATTAAGAGAGGTAAAGAATGACAAGAAAGAGACTGTAACCTACAGCTGTTCTGGCTCAGCATTGCTCCTGTCTGGCCACTGGGATCTCTGGCCAGGCTGAGAGGGCTGTCCTTTTCACTTGAAATTTCAGGTTCAGCCAGCAGCAAAGCTGAGGACATGATTCAGAGACACACAGGCAGAGATAGATCACTGCTTGTGAGAGATACAAGTTCGCCAGTGCAGGCATTCAAACAGCATTCTCCAGATTCACAAGCACATGTGCATTTGTGGATTCTTTGAGTACCTGGCACAGTTCTTGTGTCTGCCCAGCACCCCTGCCCAGCTTTCAGATCTGTCTTGTATTACACACACAGAAGAGAGTTAAGAGAAGATTTCATGAGGAAAAATAAGAATATGTCACCCTGGGATGTTCATCTACAGAGCTCAGCCAAACAAGATAGTAACTGACCCCATTTTACACACTACCAGCCCTTTAATACCTTTCTCTACCTATGCACATTCTTTGTTCCTCCTTCTCCCTTTTTCGCCTGAGCACCCCTATGATTTTGCAGAACTGTGCAGTTTCTGCATCTTTCAATCTGGGGTCCCATGGTTTACAGTCTTACTGGTTGCAAAGTTCATCCTTTCTGGATGTGGAACCTGTGATATGTTAACCCATTAATTAATCTGAGGTTAGCTTCTTGTGATTGTCTCCCACCTTGGAGGTCTTCCATCAAGTAACACCACTGGCATAAACATTCCTAAATTCTCATATGCTCTCAGAAATTAATGTGACTGATCAGACTTGTTTCCCATCACTTCCTCCCTTTCTTATTATCCATGAAGATGTCAGAGGGCTGGAGCAGTTCTCCTATGAAGAAAGCCTGGGCTTGTTTAGCTTGGAGAAAAGATAGCTCCAGGGAGACCTCATTGCCGCTTTCTGGTACCTGAAGGAAGTTTATAAACCGCTTGTAAAACTGACTTTTTACACTTTCTGATAGTGATTGGACAAGAGAAAATGGTTTAAACTAAAATAGAAGAGATTTATGTTAAATGTTAGGAAGAAATTCTTTACTCAGAGGACAATGAGGCCCTGGCACAGTCTACCTATAGAGCTGTGAACGCCCCATTCCTGGAGGTATGAAAGGCCAGTTGAATGGAGCCCTGAGCAGCCTGAGCTGGTAGATGGCAGACCTGCCCATGGCAGTGCAGTTGGAACTAGATGGTCTGTAAGAACCCTTTCAACTTAAGACATTCTATGCTTCTACAATTCTTACTATCCCTTCTTGCCTAGGAGAAAAGGTCTTTCCTAGCTACCCTTACATGAGCAGATAATCTCCTTCAATGTACCCTTGCATTTTGAATTTAACAAGATTAGTGAGGCTGTGAGGAAAGATTGTTGGTACCCTGCAAAATAAAGAGGATGTTAATAGTGCCAAGACAGCTGATAAATTCCTTACCTCTTAGGTAAAAGCAGGGGAGGGATGATATAATCAGTGGAATATATTGTTCAGGAGATAAGAAATGAAGTGACAAAACCAGTATCTTTCTCTACAGGTGGCGTATATTTTCTCAATTATTAAAAGGATAGGTTTAATTTCTGTCTTTTTTGATCAGCAATATCTAGGTACAGAGATCAGAGGTGGAAAGATTGTTCGGTAAGTGGGAATTAGGTAAATGCTAGGTCCTTAGCTGCACATACTAGAGCATATGCATGTGCCACCATGTGCATAATGATTGCTTAGTTTCATCTGAATAGATGTAAACATGATGCACTGGATGAGGTGTGTTGCACTGGTGGAAAGTGCAAATAAGGATGCAGAGTTTTTATGGGTTGTCTTCCTCATGAGGGCAGTAAAGATTTTTTGTCTCACTAACATCTAGAGTCATCTGCTGAATGTTGGCCTTGGGATCTGCAATGGTTTTACTGATGAACTGACTCAGGTTTGGGGTCTATTTGGAGGTTGAGATGAACTGTTCGTAGAAAATATTTTTAAGGGTAGGATTGTCTTATTTTAGGCTATAGTTATATAGTGATTTTCCACGGAAATTCCACATTTGATTAGCTGACAGTAGGGCATTCTTCATCTATCTCATTTCTACTCTCGATCATTTCTAGTGAGCTATACTTGTGCCTTTTGAAAAACAAGAGCTAGAAGAGTGCTTCTTTGGGTAGAGGTTCCCTTTAGTTTATTCCAGTGGACATGCTGAATATTATCTTTCAGCAAATGTGACAGTAACTGAAAATCTAGTGCTCTATTGCAGTTTTGATGATTACTGGAGCTTTGGATGGTTAGTCTTTAGGTTTCGTATATAAGGTATACATCCATATTCTATACACACTTTTGTATTACACACACCAAACTAAACAATATTTCTAATATAAGCCTTAGTGTTTATATATATTGCATTTTTCTTCCAAAACCATCTCAGTAGGCTAGCAATACTTACTGTCATTATGATGGAAATCTATGAGAGTATCCAGATGTTACTTTCTGTATCCTAAACACTGTTATATAGAAACTCTTATTTAAGGTGGTTCCTTACAAGTCTTACCTACAGGTGGGTCACAGCCTTCCTCTGGGAAATGCTACTGAATGACGATAAATTTAAAGATAGCAAGAATATAACAGATGAGCCTGTATGTTCAAAGCTAGCATTGATCTTGCATTTGTAAGTATTCAGAGCTTGCCTAAAAAGCCATCAGATATGGACTGTACTGCCTAGCAGTATCCATAGGGATATTATTGATATTGGATATACGTATAAACATTGTTAGCTAGAATGATGGAAGAGGTGGAAGTGTGGTCTATATGGTATATCATCCTCTTGGAGACTTTCTTTGCACCGTACTTTGGAGACCATATAGAATGAGAAAAAGTAAAATATGTGTCCAGGAGAAATGTTTTATGCAGGTCTGCAAATGAAATACTGTCAGGACACTACGCACATTGAGGCTAGTCTTTTGGACCAATGAGATGAGTGTTCTGTCTTCCCTTCTCTCACATCCTGCTCACAGATCTTACTCCAAGATGTGAAAAGCTGGGAAGCCATTATCCTGGAGAGATGATGGTGTAAAAGATGAGGAAGAAGCAGTTAATAGCTGCTCTTTAGTTATCATGTTTCATGCATATGTTTTGTCCTTTCCTGGCAAGCAGTTTCTAGGATTTTAAACTCACTGCTCTTTGTTGTACAATAGCCTTCAGAAGATATGGTTACAGGAAGGACAGTTATTGATGCTTACTGGCAGTACTGGGAATTGTCTATAAGATCACACTGTTAGAATGTACTTCTCATTCCTGGTGCTGACTGGTACCCATTAGTGTTGGCTGAGGTTGGTTTTGTTTTGTTTGGGTGTTTTTTTGTTTGTTTGTTTTGTCTGGCTCAGAAACAAGTGTTGGTGTGGTGAGGAGAAGGTGTTGAACGTGAACCTGTTGGAAGTGAATATCAAGAAGAATACATTTCTGCATATACTCATAGTTGAATACTCATAATAACATCTTCCAAAAGTGAAAGTCTTCAGTATAAGGGCATATAGAAAGACTGAGATTAAGCTCTAATGCTTTGCACTTTACATGGATGCTGGAGTTCTCCCTCAGGACTTGCATTTTCTCTTGTGGACTATGGACTTAGCGAAAAGATGAAGGAAGATATCTGGATAATTCTCCTGCTTCCTCCTGTCTGTATATTGTGTCTGTGTTTCTAGCTCTCTCTTTCTTACAGTCGTCTTTTCTCCTCCTCCCTGTCCCCCTTCCCTCTCCTTCAGGAGTTCCCCTTTTGCCCACACCTGATATTCAATCCCGGCAGAGTTAATGCCTTTTGCTGAGATCAGACCTGGCACTGGGGAATCATGTGACAGATGAAGGTTGCTATAAATATAGTTGAACCCTGCCTTTGGGCAGGAAGAGGAGAAAGTGAGAGAGACACAAGGAGTAGGAGGGGCAGGGAGAAAGGGAGTGCGGGGACAGAAGAACTTAGAGTGGTCTAATGAGAGAGAGAAAGGAAGGAAGGAAAGAACAGAAGAAAGTGCAGAGGCCATTTTCTAGGCCAGACCATGAGGTGGTTGTAGGAAAGGACCAGAGTGGCAGCTCTGTTACAACTAAGCACGAGCAAGAGTGGAGACATGGAAAGCTCAAAGAGTATGACGCAGGAATCCAGATCGAAGTCAGCTTTGTGGGGGGGCACACCGCAGTACGACTATATCAGCTTTGAGAAATGCACCCGTTACGGGATACCCTTGGAGGCGGGACGCGAGGCCGGGGGGACAGGGGACGACCTGCACTACCTGGAGAACTCCCTCAGCCACCCACAGGTAGGGTCGGACAACTGAGATGTTTATGGCAGCACAGGCCTCAATGGGGTCACATACGTTTTTGGGGCTCCTAGAATGGTGCTATAGAGCACACGTCCCTGTCTGTACCCAATCCTACCAACTTTCCCTTTTCCTTGTTGACTTCCAAGTAAGGCACTGACTTTCAGAGTCTTGCTTAGAATGCTATCAGCATTTCAAGTCATTGGGTATTTCCATCTATTATGACCACAGTGTTAGAATGGTTAAGCTGGCATGAAAATCAATGAAACCATTGCTGTATTTGTAAATGCAAAGAGAAATTGCATCTGCTTTCAGCTGCATAGTGATTTTTAGGTAGAGCGGGAGAGGAAATAAAAACAAATAGAACAGTAATGAAGCTACACAGATATCTATCTGCACAACTGGATGGATAGCCATGCAGAGCTCTGTTCTGACTTTTCCCTGAACAAGAAGAGTAAGTCCACGCTTGCATATGCATGCTGATAGTCTCAGTAGCTCTTCTGAGAGCTGTGAGGAATTTTCTAACCCTTAAACTTGACCTGACTCTCATTCCGGTTCTTACAAATATCGTCTCAGAAAAGTATCTAGTACAAAGATGTACTCTAGTTATGACCTCTTGTTCTATTGCCCTTTGTATGTCTTCTGTCTCTCCTTCTGGGACACCCTTCTGCAAAGAGGTTTTACAGACGTCTTGGTGTCTTATTTCCTGTCAGTCTGCTCAGACTGAGCTGACGTGGAAGGGTTGAGAGCAATGTAAAATTTGGTCAAGTAACAGGAGGGAGAGAGAATGTGTGAATGTGAAATTCGTACAGGGAAGATATGAGTGGAGGTTTCTTAAATCCCCTTACACATATTCTTGTGCCACTGACTGGGGAATAGTGGAAGAGATGTATTAATCTCCCTAAGAACTGCATGGTTCCAGAGTAGGAAAAGCCACATTTGCCACCACGATTATCTCTTCCAGTAGATAAACATCCCAATGAGGATTGTGTCTGCCATGTTGCAAAAGACTAGAAAGTCAGTCCCATGGCCATACTCAGAAATTTCTCATCTGAAGCTGTATAAAACATCTGAGAGTTTGCAAATTATTTCTCTACTAAACTGTCCCAAAACCACTACCTGGCTGATTCAGAAGCAAGTCAGAACCAGAAGGTGTCTGGGCAGTTAATGCTTTATTTATATTTTCAAGTGAGTTATGCTGAGATTTTGCATTTGAGATGTGTGTGACCTGGCCCTCTCATGGGATGCAAGTGGAGGAATGCCTAGGGCTGAAAGGCTGAGGTGGATTATGGAAATGGAAATGCATGTTGTGTTACATGAACCCTTAGTCAGTTGGGATACAAAAAATATACCAGTTTACATGTATCCACTCTGCAGACTGTTCCCACATGGATAAAACCCCTCTTAGAAGGTGACATAGTTGACACAGTGAGGCAGAAAAACCTACTTCTTGCTGCCTGGCCTTGGGGTGTCTTTGTTTTCATCCCCACAGGCATGCCACTCAATGAATGTAGCCAAAATCCAGCACAAACAAGCAGGATATCAAGATGCGTTCTCATACAAGTCTTCAGGAAGTAACATCCCAGAGCAACGCATTCGTGAATACAATTTTCAGTCTTGAAAACAGACAGTCATATTTATAGATCTACTGAAAATATGCCCTAGAAATGCTGTTATGTAAACAATCACACAGTTACATATATAGTATGAAGGCATGTTGTTGTAAAACCAGCCTTGCTGTGCATGTGTATTTTGATAGCGATTCGTTAACATGTAGGTAAACTAAAAACATTCATACTATCACACATCTTGTACAGGCATGCACTTTTATGCTATTAGCATGATAAACAATCTGCTGCACATGCTTTCATATATTTCCACGCAGAATACTCACCACTGTGACATGAAAAACAGATGACAGAGAGACATTTTAGTTCTGTTGTGCCAATTGCTTGTGCTAGCTGTTCCTTTCTATTTTATATGTAAGTTGGAAGCTATTTCAGACAGAATACATGATTTGACTGGGTTTACAAGGCAAAAAAACAGTGGAAACTTGATCTTTGGCCTGGGATTTTCTAATAATACATAGTTAATATATTAGATAATAGATAATGTAATAAAAATAGCTAATAATAATGTGTACTTAATTTGTGGGGATTGGGATAACAGTATCATAGAATCATAGAATGGCTTAGGTTGGAGAAGACCTTAAAGGTCACCCAGTTCCAACCCCCTGCCACGAGCAGAGTTGCCACCCACCAGATCAGGCTGCCCAGGGCTTGAGCTGGCCTTGAACACCATCCTGGGAGGATGAAGTGTTCCACAATCTCTCTGAGAAATCTGTTCCACCATCACCACTCTCTAAGTAAAAATTTTCTGGCTAATGCCTAACCTAAACCTTCCATCTTTTAGTTTAAAGCCATTCCCCCTGGTCCTATCACTATCAGACAGTGTAAAAAGTCAGTCCCTGTCTCTCTTCTAAGCTTTAGACTTAGAGACTAGAGATTTTATCTACCATTTAGAATGATATCTTGAAGGGATTTTTGCTCTCCCTTTAAGTTCAGTAATGTCAGCACTTCACAGAACCACTAGGAAAAATAAAAGTTCAAGTGACTGTTTCTCACACAGCCCAAATATTTATAACAATAGATATACACTAGAAAATAGATTTATAAAATGTATGTTCTTCTGAATTGTAGGTTTCTGTGTTTTTATTTTCCTGCATGAAAAATAAAAACCTTTTCTCAAGCAGCTCAGACTGATGAAGTATTTATCTGATATAGCATTTGTGAGGTAGGAAGGGGTATTCATGGCAGAGAACTCCAACAGCAGTACACAGACAGGTGCCACAGTAAGGCAGTGTAATGATTAATTGGGTAATGCAGAATTACAGAGTAACAGACTCATAGAAAGACTTGAGGGGGCCTCTGGAGTTCTCTAGGCCAATGCGTTGTTCACAGGGTTTATCTAAGTACATTCTGAATATCCCAAATATGAAGATGCTCAGAACGTCTGGGCACCTGTTCCTACGCTGAATCACCCTCAGGTTTTCTTTCTACACGTTCGAACATACGTTTGCTGCAAGTTTTGCCTTTTTTCTCCTATCCTTCACTGTGCTTTTCTGAGAAGTCTGGCTCTGTTTTCTCTCCAGCCCTCTCAGGTAGAGAGTACTGCTATTAGATCTCCCCTTTACCTTTACTTCTTTGGGACAACTATTATTTTGTAGCTGATCCCTGTCTGTCACATTAGCTCTATGCATAAGCAGTTGAGACTAGACTTTGTACTCTGGAAGACAATTTCAGGAACAACAGCATATCTCCAAGGCAGGAGTGAGAGGGGTGAGCTGTCTGCAGAGCCCTCAGCAGTGACCAGGAGCAGCGATGTGCACTGATGGTGCTGGAGGAAGGGATTTCATGACTAGAGTTTGTTGTGGAGAGTACATTGCTGAATCTGAATAACGTGGGGAATAACTTAGGGTATGGACTGAGAAAGGAATAAAGATTTAATAGGTGCTCAGCATAAAAATAGCCACCAGAAAAGTCTTGAGGTTGTGAGAACTTTCTTCAAAATTTTTCCTCCATTAAACAATGATGTTCCTCCCACTTCCACATACAACATCCTTAACAGTATTTATATCTACATTGTTTTTTTGCACTGTTGTCATGTTCTCATTCAGAATTTAGCCAAGCTGAACATAACAGCACCTTTTCTGTCTCAACTCTCTAAGTGATAATTGATACGTTTTAAAATTCTCTTCAGCTTTTGTGGTGCTCAGAGAGAGGTAGTATCAGAGGAATACAACAGTGTAAGCACTACAGTGTCTCGGTTTTGGTTTTAGTTTTACCTGCATTCTAATGGAAAGGATATTTCTTGCCTAACATAATTTTTCTATGATGTCATCCTCTGATTTTTTTTAGTCTTTCTCTGTCTTAAAATTATTGACTACAAACTGAAGCAGTGCCAGAGTCCCAGAGAAATAAAGCATGTGTATGAAGCACTTTTTAAGTGAGTTGAGACCAATTTGTCCTCCAGGACAGAACCTTCATCGTTATGTCCTGGGACTAGTTCTTTTTATTTTCACATCCTGAGTTCACAATTTTCCAGCCAGATACAAACCATGAACTTTTCCATCTGAATAGGTGGAGGACTCTAATTTGAACAAGATACTTGACAAGGTAGTTCATAATTTGGATTAAGGTTCATAGTTTGGATTAAGCTCCATTTGATATAAAACAATCCCTCATGAGCATGTAAAGGCAATGAAAAATTAGCTGAGGTGATATGAAGATGCATTTATCTAAAATCTGTCAGTGCTTGGTATTCTGCCTGAAATAGATACAGTGAGAGAAACAGGGATTACTCTTCTATTTGCTATTGGATTTTATATCTGATAACTTATATGAAGTCTGGCAGGTCCTTCATCTTGATGTTTCACCATCCTGTCTATATTATGGAGATCAGAGCATGGCCACTCTTCACTGCTAAGAGTATGTATCAATTAATTTGGCTAGACTGTGGTGATAATAATGGGGTTAGTAATTAAAATATAATTTTCCAGTGCAGTGATGGATGGATGGAAGAACAGTTTCAATTATTCAGGTGGGATCAATTTGTTTCAGAGATGGAAGGTAAGCCGTCATAAGAACAGGATGATTTAAAAGCCTACATGCATGTTCTGTGAAAATATAATAGAGATTTTAAAGGGACCCATTGCACATAGTTCAAGTGTCTTAGGAATACAGGCAAATAAACTACTTAGGACTTTCAGTCACATTTGGCAACTGGAAATATAACTTGGTTTGATGCTGAAATGGCTGTTCGGAGAAGCTGGGAAATTTCTGCCCTTGAAGATGACTAGGACTTGCCCGTACAATGCCCTGAGCATCCTGATTGGCCTTGGAGTTAGCATTCTGTGAGCTAAGGATTGGAAGAGATACCCCCCAGAGGTGCTTTCCAGAGTTCAACCTTCTGTGAATCTCCACATCTATCTGACCTCAAATTATCTTACAAATAAGTTAGCTGCTTTATTGCCATTCTACTGATGATGTTTCAATTAATGCAAATCTCAGGGGTTCGGGAGCAATATCTCCTGTGTCTCTTAGAAAAGAGGAAAAGTAAAGCAGTCAGGTAGAATTATCTCCTAAGCTCATGCTAGAGCTCCATATCTCAAATGTCTTTTCATTCTCCAGCTGAAGTGTCTGACTTTTTGCTGACTTCCTCTTGCCACTTAAAGTATCTTAGAGAAGTAGGTGTTGTGCTAGGAGGAAGCAGGTTCTAGCAGGTGGGAATTGCCGAGATCACAGGCTCAGCATCAGGCAGGGAACTGATGTAAAGTCACAGATTGTACATAGAAGTGAAGGTAAGAGACCTGTTCACAGCTTCTCAAATTCACATCTTCCCATATATACCATGAAAAGATGAGGGAGAATAGCTACTTCTGGGGGGAACCTGATGGACATAGTCAGGATCCTCCCAGCTTCCTTGAGAACTCTTTTTTTGACAAGCTGGCACAACTGACAGTTTTATCACTGATCCATGTGAGAAACACTGTTGGCAAGCTCATGTAGCTGCTTGTGAATTGCATAATATCAAATGTTTTCAAGATTAGTATCTGATGACAAGGGCTAGATTAGGTAATTAAAAACAAAAAATCAGATGAGTTAGAGATATATGGGGATTTAGTAGAATGATTTGGGTAGATAACGGGAGGTGCTATGTGGTACTCTCTGCTATTTGTGAGCTGATGCTGCTTCTTTTCCACAGAAGACACCACCAGTGTCTGCATACCCTATTAAGCATTCCTTGGCAGCAGAGTGAACAGATGCAGGGCATTCCTGCAACCTATTTAGTAGTGTGTGATACCTCTCTAAATTTTAAGAGTTGTTTTGCAGTGCTGCTGAAGACAGCCCTAAGACTGGCAGCCTCATGTGAACTGTTTTGACCTTCTTTTGTACTTCCAAAAAGGCTGCCCAATCTTTTTCCTTCAGACCTGAGCCTGCTCATTCTGAGGATCTTAAAAAGCAGTTAGCATTCTGTTATCATAGATTGTATGCCCAAAAGAAGATGCAAAGATTTTAGAGAGATTGGGAAAAGGGAACCAGGAAGGAAAAAGAAAAAAATAATGAATTGCCTCTGTCTGAGTCTTTGTGTCTGTCTCCTTGCTTGAATACATTTGACTGCACCTCTTACTGTTAGTAAATATGCCTTTTCATTTTAATGCTACTTGTGAAGGAATATTTGCCTTACATCTTTATTTTGCTCTCTTTTGCTTTCTGCTCCTCCAGCTTTATGGACAATACACAGACCAGATAACTGACTTTGCTGAGAAGGAAGCAGCAAAACTACTGAATACAAAGCAGGCCCAAAAGAACAACGAAAGACCCCTGAAACGTGAGAGTCAAGTAGAGATAAAAGAAGAACGCTATTCCAAATGCCAAGGTAGAAATGATTTATCCTTGCTTACCCTGCGATCAGATATTGAGTAGAATAGTCAAAGAGATGGAATTTAAGCAAGACAAAAAGACAAGGAGGCTTTGACAGTCGAGAAGTAGAGAAGGAACGAGGAGCCACCTTGGTTTTAAAAGGTGTTTGCATGCTAGCTGTAGGAATAACAGTCCCCACGTTATTATCTTTTTTCCCACAACAGATCTCTATAGCAGGAGGAAAAATATCTTTGCTGCTAGTGCACAAGAGGTTAAATTATCTTGTCCCTTCATTTTATTTTGAAACTTCAAAGAATTTTGAAAGACTGCAAGGAAGGGATGGGTATCAGGACTTCAACACTAAGCCCATAATTCATTCAAATACATTCTTTTAGTGGTCAGTTCTCAACACAGAAGCACAGATTTCATCTATGTTGCCTCCATTTTTCTGGTTCTCTTTTCTCTCCACAGACTGCGTTAGACGCATCCAGAAATATGTCACCAGGAAACTTGGAGAGGACTGGATTTTCTTGGTTTTGTTGGGTTTGGTCATGGCATTGGTGAGCTGGGGAATGGATTATGCCAGTGCGAAGAGCCTACAGGGTGGGTCTCATTCAGGTGTTGAAAAAGCATACTGTAAATGATATAAATATTTTACAAAGCCCAGTGACCAACATTCCTCCTTTAATACTGTCGATACCTCAGGAAGATTGAAATACTTGCAACACAGTAGAGAGAAGGTTAACTAGAAAAAGGTTCTTTAGTGATAGGGAAATATTTCTAAGTGGGCAGGGAGCAAAGGACATGTGTACCATTCAAAGATAAACCATTATTTTTACTCACTTTCTATCCTTCTCTTGCTCATGTGTAAGGGATCATTGTGTGACTTTGGCCCTTTCTATTATGCAGTTTGCCATCCTCTCCAGGTCTGTTGAGCATATGGTGGGTGGGGACAGGAAAGGGCTCTTTAATGCCTTCTTGATACAGTTTTCTCTGCCTTTATCCTCATTATTGTTCTTCTCAAATTTTATTTATACAGTACTCTGGTGTTTTCTGCTACACAGAACCATAGTGCTCTTTACTTAACTTTTTTTTAACAATGATCTCACAAGCACTTGCTTATGTCACTTCTCTACAGCATTCCTCTGGTTCCCATATCCTTTTCCAGCTTTAAAAATTACAAAATCTTTCAGTGGCCTTGCCTCCCATCCCCATGCACACACACACACATACTAACATTGCCAACATGCTGTTAATTGCACTTCAGAAGAAATGATTTCTGCAAAATTCTTAGGAGCATGGAGCACGCTTGTGTATATTTCTCTCCATCTCTTTTATTTTGGCAAGGAACCTCAGCTTGCACGTGTGCCAAAGAATGTCTCAAAAAAGAAACACCCTCTGAGTTTGCGTGCACAAGGCACATGTTGTAACAGCTGGCACTGCTCCCTTCATGCTGCTGTTCTAGAAATCAAATCGTAAGCAGGACTTCTGAGGTAGTTTTTCTGAAGGAATAGTTTTTCACGTGGAGGAGAGGACACTAACTTCACTGTCCTTCAGGCCCATATAACACCTTCCAGCTGCTAAGTGAAAAGATCCTGCACAGAAATTCGCTCTTGCAAGTGAAAGTAATATGGCTCTTCCAATGCCACATTGCAGCACAGGTATAATAATGTCAAATAGCAGAGAATCACTTGTATCCATTCCTGCAGAATGCATATATTATTTGAGATTTTGTACTTTAAGTGAAACAAGGTTTTACTCTATTTGTCTTTGAAAATTAGGACTTCTAGATAGTGTTTCTCAGGGAAATTTAGTATGGGCAAGTTTAGCAGGTGTGGGCTTTTGTTTGTGATTCTTTCAAGTTTGACAAACTGATTGGAGCATCTGTGGTTACTGACAAATTCTTTGTTTGTTTACAGCCTACAAGTGGATGTACAGGGAGCTGCATCCGAATATTCCTTTGCAGTATCTGGTGTGGGTAGCATACCCACTTGTTCTCATACTGTTTGCAGCCATCTTCTGCCACCTCGTCTCTCCACAGGCTGTTGGTGAGGGTAGAAGGCATGGCAAAATCTGTTTCTGTCTGTCTCTTCTTTCTTATTCCTCTTGCCTTTGGTTTTCTATATCCTCTGCTCTGTTGTTGTTTTCAGGGTCTGGGATCCCAGAGCTCAAGACAATTATGAGGGGAGTGGTCCTCAAGGAATATCTCACTCTCCAAGCATTTGTGGCCAAAGTTGTGGGCCTCACAGCAGGGCTTGGAAGTGGCATGCCTGTAGGGAAAGAGGTAAATATTGCTATGTTCATATGCAGTAGCAGCCAGGGTCTAGGAAGGAGCTGTCTATGCAAGAGTCTTTAAATGTTTCCTTTTCCTTGACCCCATTCCTCTTGTCAAAGCTCTGTTTTTCCCAGCAGCACTTATCTTCCACTAACCATTTCCTTCTACTTTGAAAAGCGTCATATACATAGGTAGCTCTGAAAGTAATGCCTCCTATTTATTTCTATGGAAACAAAAGCAGCTGCAAAGAGCACAATAACACCATTTGACAGAGCAAATTCTCAGCTACAAAATGCTATTTTTCAACATAGTCATCACTGTTAGCTATGCATTTTCACCAGCAATGAATAAGAGCCTGCATGCCACACTTGTAAAAAAATAAATACATTTAAAAAAAAAAAATCTGCATGGACATCCAGAATGTGGCTTGTCTTGCATGTCACCGTCTCCTCTGCTGAAATGCACCACCCACAGCTTCACTGTGCTCACATCCCATGATTGGTTTCCATCAACATTCAGCAAACATCAATGAATGTCAGTGGGTGCCATTTTTCCCTCGTGGAGGAATTCAATTCCACACTTGGGCTTCATACACACTTCCATGTCAGATGCCATTTTGTCAGACTGCCCCTCTGTCACACGGCAACAAAATTTAATAGAACATTGGTGGGAATCAAAGAATTACAGAATCATAGGAGTTGTAAGGGTCTTTTGGAGATCATCTAGTCCAAACCCCTTGCTAAAGCAAGTTCCCTACAGTAGGTTACACACAGAAAACTATCCAGATAAGTTTTCAGTATCTCCAGAGAAGAAGGCTCCACAGCATTCCTGGGCAGCTTGTTCCAGTGCTCTGCAACTCTCAAAGTAAACATGCTTTTCCCCACGTTCATATGGAACTTCCTACGTTCCAGTTTGTGCCCAGTGCCCCTTGTTCTGTTACTGAGCACAGCTAAAAAGTGCCCAGCCATATCCAGCTGACTTGCACTCATTAGATATTGGTAAGTGTTGATGATAAGACTTCTCTCAGTCTTCTCCAGGTTGAACAGTCCTAGGTCTCAGCTTTTTTTCATAAGGGAGATGCTCCAGGCCCCTAATAATCTTTATGGCCCTCCACTGGACTCTCTTCAGAAGTTCCCTGACCTCGAACTGCAGAGCCCAGAACTGGACACTGAATTCTAGAGGTGGCCTCACCAGGGCAGAGTAGACAGGGAGGATCATCTCCCTCAACCTGCTGGCCATGCTCTTAATACACCCCAGGACATCACTGGCCTTATTGGCCACAATGGTACAATGCTGGCTCATGGCCAACCTGTCATTTACCAGGACACCCAGGTCCTTCTCTGCAGAGCTCCTCTCCAGTAGGTCAGACCCTAACCTGTACTGATGCATGTCATTATTTCTCCCCAGGTGTAGCACTCTACACTCATCCTTCTTGAATCTCATAAGGTTCCTCCCCACCCAACTGGAAGGTTCAACCTCTACTGCCACACCAAGGAATTACTTTTGGAGCTGCCCTTGTAGAAAACAATAAAAAAAAAAACCTCTTTCTAATTTGTCTCCTCCTTCTTTTCTTGCAGGGTCCTTTCGTGCATATTGCCAGTATCTGTGCAGCAGTACTCAGCAAGTTTATGTCTATTTTCTGTGGTGTATACGAGGTAAGGCACATGTCTCTGGCATTCAGTTCTTTCACAGGCTGAACTCTTAAGACACATTGATAGGCTACTGCACACAGAGGGAACATATAGATTGAAGTTCACTATGCTTCTCTAAAGCAGAAAGATACCAGCCAAAGAAAACTGTAGTAGAATGCCAGGTGTGCAACTAAACAACTGTGCAGGATCAATTGTGTGTTATCTCCCACGTGACGCAGATGCTGGTTAAGAACTTGCATTTCACAAGTTTTCTGTCTCACAGTGCCAATTCCTTTGCACTGATCAATATCTGTGGGGGAAGAAAAGAAAAAAAAAAAAGAAAAAAAACCTTAAATAGGTGTGGATAAAGATCAATTTGTCTTTAAGATAGGATGCAGAGCATTACTAATTATAGCCACTGACACTGCCTCTGGGCTTTTGCTGTTGTAAAACGGCCTCTGCCGGCTGATTGATGTATTGACAATTTGTGTTTGGAAAAAAAAAAAAAAACAACAACCACTATTATCCACGTATATAGCTACGTGTAGGAACTGTTTTACAAACTCCAGTAATTGGCTTTGTAATACAACAACAGGAGGTGCTGTTTCACTTGATCCTGTGTATGCATAAGGATCAAATCTCACTACTGCAGGCTGAGTGTACTAAAAACTGTGCTAAAGTGTGTAGAGCCTGTTATTTGTAATAGCAGTGGCTGAATCTGCAATTGGCTGTTGCTTTTTGTTTTGTTCTTCTGGATCCTAACACTTTGGCTTTGCTCCCTCTAACCACAGCATGCCTTTCTCTGGCTGCCCTCTCTGTTCCAGAAAGTGCACAGGCAGCTTGACCTCCTGGTGGTGGCTTGCTCAGCTGGAGTTGGATGTTGCTTCGGGGCTCTTCTTGGAGGCAAGTGACTTCCTCTCTGTGACTTTTAATGTAAAACTCCACCTCTTGCTGTGAGATCTTCTGCTCTCAAGCAGGTTCTCCAGAGATGTCTCTCGACTTCTTTAGCATCATGAACTCCTTCTTTAATTATGTAGCTAGTGGCATTGAAAGAAAGGGAAAGAATAATCCTGGAAGAGCCAAAAAAAAACTGACAGTTTTTGAGTGCAAAATTCTAAAGCCACAACTTTAACTTTTCTAACAGTGTATCTTGCTCAGTCTCTTCCTACCACAAAAATTGTTCATTGTTCTCTCACTCTGGGAATCCTAAGGCCTGTCCAGCAAATCAACAAATATAGAGAACAGAAGTAAAAAAAAAAAAAAAAAAAAAAAAAAAAAAAAAAAAATTATCATAAATGTCATCATCTAATGGCAGGAGATGATGACAAGAATGACCACGAGTGATGAACAAAGAATCTACTGTATTTATGCCTTCAGTATTGGACTGGAGAACAGAAATACCAGTATGTAAAATTTTGCATTCCTCATGTAAAAGAGGTGTTGCAGGGCCAAGAAGATGGTTGGGAGGCTGGAATAATGACATATGAGGGGAGGCTGAGGGATATGAGCTTGCTCAGTGTAAAGGAGAAAAAGCTAATGGGAATGTCTAGCTGGTGCCATCAGCCGCTTAGGGGATTTTGGAGAAGATAAAGTCAGGCTGTTTTCAGAGGGGCACAGTAGAAAAGGCAAGGACACAACTTGTGACAAGGGAAATTGTAGTTCTGTGGAAGGAAGTTGCTCCCCTCTCCCAACGGTGGTTCAGTACTTGTACAGATGCTCAGAGGACTTGGAGAATCCCCACCCTTAGAAATGTTCAGGACTCATTTGGGCAAGATCCTGAGCACCCTGCTTGAGCCTTGGAGATAGTGCAACTCTGAGCAGGGAACTGGAAAAGGGATACCTTCCAGGCAAAAACTTGCTGTGAGTCTGTGACAGCATTGTAGTGTAAGAATGAATCGAAAGTTGTCATTTTTACAGTCCTAGTTGATTTCCTCTTACAGAATCACACCAAATCGTAGAATTCCATTCCCTGGACTTAAGTCCAGGGTATAATTTGCAACTATAATTTTTTGAGGTTGTTGCTGGTAAACACCACCCTGTGTATTTAGTGAGGATCCTTCAAAATGGGTTTGAAAAACCAATTTGACCTTTTACAAGCAAAAGATGCCCAGCTGTGCTTTTTCTGAGTGCGCTCTGGTACTCTTTGTTTGTCTGCCTGTTTTAGCCTCTCTGGCTACTCCTAAGTTAAATAGCATTGGCACTCTCACACACTCTGGGGGATGCCATATGCCATGGACTGTTCTCTGTGGGTGGAATGAGTAATACCATGTTGTGCTTGATTCTTGCCATTTTTTACTGTTCTTCACTGTTTCATCAGGCTTTTTGCACTTTCAAACAGCTCTACTTACCTCTTGCTATACTGCAGACCATGTAATATGTATCCTTCTTTACAAGCTGTCCTGGGCTATAACACAACCCACACACTGTCCCAGACACTGAACTGAAACTCATTCCCATTCTGGACATGATGATGTTTAAGGTCATAGAAGCATTAATAGGGCTCAAAGGTGACCTAAGGCAAATCTGTGAATGTGGAAAGACTCTTATGGATCAGAAAATAATATATGGCTTTTTTTCATTGGGTTGTGCAGCCATAGCCTCTTCTTTGAGGCTCTATCAAATACTTTCTCAGGTAAGTAGGAATTCATTGCCTTCACCCTTAGAATTCTGCCTGGCTGCTCAGAATGCCCATGTACGCCCTTTCTCAAAACTCAGCTCTCATGGAAGTCATAACAGAGTGCTTCAGGAACACATAATAGCAGAAAGTACCAAATACACAGGTGTTTAACCATGTTGTTCTTTATATTAAGCATTACCTAGAATTTAGTTAACGTGAAACAAAACCCATCTGCTCCCTAAGGGTCAACATCTTTGTCAGGCATGTCAGGGCCTTCAACTGCTCTTCCCAGTCTTAGAGAGTGGAAGAAGACCCTCTCTCTCCCCATGTTCTTCAAAACTGTCTCAGTGATTGCTTATAAACTTGGCAACTTTAGTGATTTAACCAGGAGAGCACAATCCTTTAACAGGTGATCTGTTACCTACTCTCTCTCCAGTCACTGTCCATAACCTGTTCTGGATATACCTGTGCCTTTTGTATGCAACCTGAAATTCCCTACCAAAGTAAAAGAGAGAGTGAAACATGCACACGCGTGCTCCATGCTCTGAAGAATCTCTCATGAAATATTCCTTCTGAAGTGACAGAAATGTGCGTGTTTCAGTGAAAGATGAGATGCTGCCTTCTTTTCATGTCTTGAATATGTGACTCCAAGTGTATTCCTGTCTTGTACCACATAAAATCTGTCTTTGAATACTTTGCAGCCATCCCAAATGCAGATGATGTAAGATTAGTGACAGAGCTGGGTGACAGTATGTGGCCATACCTGCCAATTCTGTCACTCACTGCTTTTTTTCTTTGTTTCTGTTTGTCTCTCTCTGTCTCTTCTACCAGTAGCAGCCGTACTATTACACGGATGTCCTGACTGTGGGTTGTGCTGTGGGTGTTGGCTGCTGCTTTGGGACACCACTTGGAGGCAAGTGGCTGTTCTGTTTCCTTTTTCTCAGGTACCTAAATCATCTCCTGCCTAGTCCACTTCTCATTTCCCCACTTCCTGCACCCTATATTTGATCTGTCATATACTTAAAACAAGAAGCTTGCTTTTAGTGCCACCAATCCCCCAAACTACTCTTACACAGCCTTTGTTTTACACGTGTCATCTTTCTGAAGGGCATGAAGTCATGGCTCTTCTGAACAGTTGTTTCCAAACTGAGGGTGTGCGTATCTCAGGAGATCTGCAAAATAATCCACTACACCGTGGGAAGAAAATGCTGGACTGTCTATTTTCTATATTTAAATAAATAAATAAGAAAGAAATTAAGGTTTGCCAGTATTCAGTGTACATACTGACACTGGTGGCTTCACTTGGTCCATATTTCAGATGGCCACGTGTCACATGCAGTTTGTGAGGTGTCCTGGATGAAGGTTGGATGTCCCATCACACAGCCAGTTGACAGTAATGCCCTCGCTTGTTCATATGCTTTCAGTGTATTGCAAAATATTTCAGCCTACCCAGCTGAATGGATAAAAGTGCAGACGTTTCTATCATGTCTTCTGGTATTAGCTAGATTCTGTTTCAGTAGTGAAATACATGAAGGAAAGACTTACCAGAAAAGATATATTCTCAACAGTAAATGACTTCTTTCATAAGGGCAATGTTTTATTGAAAAGCAGTGCAATTGTAACAACTGATGGTGCAGTGTCATTGCCTGGAAAAGGATTCTGGTGTATGTTTACAGCAGGGGCAGCAATAGCACATGAAAACCATTGGCTGCATGACTCAGAAGCAAGATAGTGCTGCAAAAAAGGGAGAGCCAGAAGTGCACAAAGTGCAACAGGATAACACTGATGATTCTGTGTGGTTAATTTCATAAAAACAAGATATTAAGACAGTAGGATGTTTATAATAGTCTGTAATGAGGTGGGGAATGACCATGAAAATCTTCTGTACCACACAGCAGTTCAGAGGTTATCTCATGGCAAAGGACTTAAAAGAGTTGTCAAATTTAAAGATGAGTTGAGTATTTTTCTTTTACAAAAAGTTGTTTTGAATTTCCTGATCTTTTCTGTCATGACAAGTGGCTGGCAGCAATATGCTACTCAGCAAATACTCTTAAAAATAGAAGCACATAATCTGTCCCTACAAGGTGAAAGCGCCATGTTAACACTGAGTGAGAAAGTGCATGCTTTTTCAGAGGGATGTTGTGCTCTGGAGATTTCATGATTTTCTTGCTGAAAACAACATGTGTCATTTATAAAACCTCTCTCATCTGTACACATGAAAAACTTGGAAGTAAGAGTTTTCTAATCCACTGAAAAACCTTCCAAAGGAAAATTTTCAGTGGGTTTGAAACGCGCTTATAAATATCATAATTTTTATATATATGTATTTTGATATTTTTTTATTTAGTAAGTGCAGCCAAAGTTATGCTTTTCCCATTTCGGTCTTTGTGAGGGCTCTTTTTCAACTCTGATAGCCATTAAAGCTAAGCGTGGATATAAGCTGAACTGACAATTGTAAGTTGTCTAACTAAGCGTTAAACCGTGATTTTCAAAAATAAGAACAAATATTAATAGTAATATTTTTAGTGAGAACAGTAATTTTTTTGTACAATTAATTAGTAAAATGAATCTTTAAATATTCCCTGCGTTATCATCTTATTGTTTTTAATTTTTATTTTTGTGTATGCTTTATAATGTACCCAGTATACTAGTACAGTATTGCACTTATACAATTTATGAACAAATACACACAATCACAAATATTTTATCAATAGGGGTACACAATGAAAGAAGTTTTGAGATCACTGCTTTAGAAGACTATTTAGAAGTATTTCTTGTTCTTCTGTCATCGCACTTCTGATTTTAACTTTACTCCTTTTCTAACTCTTTCTAGGGGTCCTTTTCAGCATTGAAGTCACTTCCACTTACTTTGCTGTGCGTAATTATTGGAGAGGTTTCTTTGCAGCTACCTTTAGTGCCTTCATTTTCCGAGTCCTTGCTGTGTGGAACAAGGATGCAGGTAAGCTAAAATCATTCCTTTGTACAAATGTTGTCCTTTTTTTTTTTTTTTATTTTCCATCTTTCTCAAAGCCCTCAACTTTCAGGATGTTTGAGATTCTGCCATGACATTGGAACATTGGACATCTAACAGTAGAGAAGAAAAGAGAAAAGGAAGCATCTTATATCACTAAATGTATAACACACCTTATCCCAGTGTGTTCAGAATATGACTGAAAAAAGACTGTGTATGAGTACCAATCAAGTAAGAAGGGTCCCGACGTGGGATTTTTGCCTTTAGTCAGCATAATGTCATGACTGCAAATATAAACATATCCCACCACAAATTGGGTAATACATATTGCAATGCATGCAGTTCACTGGAAACACCACAGCCTGGTTTGGTCATCTCTCAATGCACACAAAACAAGCAGTAGTCTAGAATACTGAGGTGATGAAATGATTAGGAGGCTGCAAAACTGGTGGGGTCTGATAGAAGGTCCCAAGGACTGAAAGCTCCAACTGTGCTAGCTTTAACTGTAGCTTTGATAGAAAAAGAAAACAACAACAACAAAACAAAACAAAACCAAACCTGTTTCAACTGAAACATGTGCAGACAAATAGCAAGACCAAGTATGTTCAAGAAATCAATTCAGATACTGCTGGAATGAGGTTCCAGTTGATACAGAAGGTTGCCATTCATATGTAAACTTCTTGCTTATAATGCCTTTATCCTTCATTCTTACACTTTTATTTATTTTACTGGTCTGAGTTCCATGTGGGCTCTTCCCATTCTAAAATTGCTATAATTTACACTCTCTTGACATCACAGAGTTGGATTTTATTGTGCTAGAACATTATTTGCCTTGAATATTCTTTTTGAATGTAGGAAGTGTTGGCAATTTGGCAATTTATACTCTGAATGTCAAAAGGACCTACACCTTTGCCTGCAAAACACTGCCTTATATTATGGGTTATTCAACCATCAGATCTGTCACAAAAACACTTACCTCACTTCTTTCCAGAGGAAAATAGAAGACAAATGAGAGGAAATAATGCCCAATCCTTCACTTCATCTACTGTAGTAGATGATCTCTCAAACCATTTGAAATTAGCTTAATCCTGAAACATCTTATCTAACCCACCCTTCTTCAAAATCATCCAGGCAGCTTTAATACCATTGTGAATGGCTCACTACATTCTGCTTCAGTGACTGTCTGGACTAAAATGTTCCATGATCCAATTGTCTATGAAAAATCTGGGGTTTTTTGTTCATAATTCTGAATTTGCTCTGTTTGTGTTGCCAGAATTCCTTATTAGAGAATCAGAAACTTCTGTTTAGACCAGTAATTCATTATTTTACAGTCTTTCATCATGCCTGCTGTAACTTACCTTTCATGTCTTTACTTTCTTATTTCCTTCTGTTACAACAGTTACAAGTCTTTTCAGTCATTGTTCATGCAGTAGTTTTTCTCTCTCTGATATCTTCACAATGTCTAAGACTTCACAAGTCTTGTTTCTCAGCAGTTATGCGCTTAGTAGGTAAAATAATGTCTTTGCACTTGTTTCCTATGTGGGTACTATTATCACTCAGTAACAATGCCTTCTTGTGAGGTAAATAATGTACTTGAAAGTAGATGGAGCTGCTTTCCTTAATGCACACTATTCATATCTACCTGTAATGTTTATGTGGAACATCTAAACTATTGCAAATTCATATAGAGTACGTCAGCTAACTCTTCTGCTTAGGCAAGCACTTGCCATCTTACTGCAGAAAAGCTTTGAGATAAAATTATCAGAGTTCCAAGCAGGTGTGGCAATAACATGGTTTGCATGGAAAGCATTACAATAATTCAGTATAATACTGGACAATGGATGGTAGAAGAAAAAAAAGTATGTACAAATCTGTGACTGTAGGTGAAAATAGAATCATAGAATCACAAGGTTGGAAATGACCTGTAAGATCATCCAGCCGAACCGTCTTCTCATTACCATTGCTACCACAAACTAAACCATATCTTGTAGCTCCTCATCCAGGCACCTCTTGAATATTCCCAGGGATGGTGACTCCACCACCTCCCTTGGCAGGCCATTCCAGTACCTGACCACTCTCTGAGAGAAAAAGTTCTTCCTTAAGTCTAATCTAAACCTCCTCTGATACAACTTGCGGCCATTTCCCCGGGTCCTGTTTATTGCCTGGGAGAAGAGGCCAAACCCCTCTTCACCACAACCTCCCTTCAGGAAGTTGTAGAGTGCAATGAGGTCTCCCCTGAGCCTCCTCTTCTCCAAACTAAGCAATCCCAGCTCCCTCAGCCGCTCCTCATAAGATTTGTGCTCCAGACCCCTCACCAGTTTCACTGCCCTTCTCTGGATGCGCTCCAGGGCCTCAATGTCTTTCCTGTAGTGAGGGGCCCAAAACTGAACACAATACTCGAGGTGTGGCCTCACCAGTGCTGAGTACAGGGGGATGATTGCCTCCCTGCTCCTGCTGGCCACGCTATTTCTAATGCAGGTCAGGATGCTGTTGGTCCTCTTGGCCACCTGGGCACACTGTCAGCTCACGTTCAGCCAAGCATCAACCAACACCCCCAGGTCCCTTTCCTCTTCACAATCATCCAGCCACTCGTCCCCAAGCCTATAATACTGCATGGGGTTGTTGTGGCCAAAGTGCAGGATCCAACACTTGGCCTTGTTGAACCTCATCCCATTCATCTCAGCCCAGCAATCCAGCTTATCTAGATCCCTCTGAAGGGCCTTCCTACTCTCAGGCAAATCAACACCACCTCCCAACTTGGTGTCATCTGCAAACTTACTGAGGGTACGCTCAATCCCCTCATCTAGGTCATCAGTAAAGATATTGAACAAGATAGGCCCCAGTACCGGCCCCTGGGGGACACCACTTGAAACAGGTCGCCAGCTGGACTTAACTCCATTAACCACCACCCGTTGAGCATGGCCCTCCAGCCAGTTCCTTCCCCAGAGAAGGGTATACCTGTCCAGGCCACAAGCAGCCAGTTTCTGCAGGAGAATACTGTGAGAGACTGTGTCAAAGGCTTTTCTGAAGTCTAGGTAGACTGCATCAACAGCCTTTCCCTCATCTACCAGTTTGGTCACCTGGTCATAGAAGGAGATGAGGTTGGTCAAGCATGACCTGCCCTTCATGAACCCGTGCTGGCTGGGCTTGATCCCCTGGATGCCACACACATGCCGTGTGATCTCACCCAAGATGATTTGTTCCATGATTTTCCCTGCTACCAAGGTCAGGCTGACAGGCCTGTAGTTCCCTGGGTCCTCCCTACGGCCCTTCTTGAAGATGGGAGTCACATCAGCAAGCCTCCAATCCTCTGGGACCTCTCCAGTTAACCAGGAGCGCTGATAGATGGCCGAGAGCGGTTCGGCAATCACCCCCCAATATATGTATATATGTATATATGTATATATGTATATATGTATATATGTATATATGTATATATGTATATATGTATATAGTCTGAAAACAAACCTATATCATCAATAGCAGTAGATTTGCAAGTATTTAAAAATTGAGATTACTAAAATTAAAAGCAGTCTGCATATCTGTAATATTGTACATAATATGAAACCGTACAACGGTACATGTATAACTAGTTCCCCTGTCTCTGTTTCCAACTTTTATGGCATTTAATTTCTTACCTCATTATTCCCTTTCCTTTTCTACCTCTTTCTTCTCTCATAGTTACCATCACAGCACTATTCAGAACTAACTTTCGCATGGATTTCCCCTTTGATCTGCAAGAGCTGCCAGCATTTGCTGTAATAGGGTAAGTTACCTGGAACTTGGCTTCTTGCTCTGCAAAAGATATCAGTTGAGTTCTGTTGGTAATTCTTTTGCAAAACAGAATAACTGCTCTTTTAGACATTTTGATAATGTGTTGGGTTTCTTCCTTCAGCAGTGGTAACACAATGGGTAATCTTTCTATTGGAAGATTAGCATCTGCTTGGGAGAGATGGTATGCTCCTTTCAAAGAGAGACAAAGACTTTTTTTGTCGATATGATGGCTCTCTTCATAAGGAGGGCTTTAAGTTAGGAAGGAAAGGTATGCAGAAAGTAAGCAGAAGCCCTGCGAGGCACTGACAGACAGGGCTAATTGAAGAACAGGCATAGGATAATGTAACTGGGAGGGATCATACTATCATCAAAATAGTCTTTAAGTGGGCCCAGAATATAGTTGCCATTCTGGGCTGCAGTCACATATTGCCATCTCATGTTGACTCGGTGCCCCTCTAGATGGCATGCCCTCCTTCCAGCGTGTTGATCATACCACATAGCTTGGTGCTGCTGGCAAACATGCTGAGCATGTACTTAATCCCACTATCCACATTGCTGACAAAGGTATTAAGTAGTGATGTTCCTAGTGCCAGGACTGGAACACATCCTATGAAGTGAGGTTGTGAGCTGAGGTTCTTCAGTCTTGAGAAGAGAAGGTTTGAGATATTAAAGTGACTGTTCAGTACCTAAAAGAAGCTTACAGGAAAGTTGAATTGGACTTTTTATTAAGAAATGTACTGATAGAACAAAGGCTAATAATGGCTTTAAATTAAAAGAGAATGGATTTAGATTATATATAAGGAAGGAATTGTTTACTATAAGGGTGGTGACGTACTGAAACAGGTTGTGAAGTCCCACAGCGAAGTCCTATCCCTGGAAGTGTTCAGAATCAGGATAGATGGGGCCCCGAGCAACCTCATCTAGTAAAAAGTGTCCCTGCCCATGTCATGAGTGTTGAAACTAGATGATCTTTAAAGCCTCTTTGAGCCCAAATCATTTTGATCCTATAATCCTGACTGGGATGTCAGTAACAGATACCTAATGTAAGATCAACCTTGGCAACAATCCCTCTAATCATGATATAAAGGCAGGCATTCATTAGAATTTTCATGGTCTCCATAGCTTACCTACCATACACTCACATTTCTTTCACACAAAGTGCAACTCCACCTCCTATCCTTTCTTTCCTGTCTTTGCAAAAGAGTCTGTATGCATGCACTGTGGTCTTTCAGTCATATGATTTTTCCCACCAAGTTTCTGTGATTCCTATAACATCATAGTTCTCAGATTGGAGAACAGACATAGAGCACCAGTGGCTCCTGTTGCCCAGACTACCTGCATTGGTATGCATGCTCTTGAGATGTATTGTCTTAGGTTTCTTGTCTTTCAAGAGGGCTGGGGAGCTCACCACTCTGGTCAGTGCACTCATCTGCCCTGTTACTCTGGAATATGTAGGTGTCACAGCTTTGGACTATCTCACAAAGTTTGGTACATTTAATGTTTTATATAGGTATATAATGTTGCTGGCTCAGAGTTAAACTCCCTTACTTTTTTCTATTTCCTGTTCTAACCTGATGTCCTAAGTTCTGGCAATACTTATTTTTGACAAATTGCTCTTCTCCAGACCACACTGAGAACTGCCAGTCCTATTTTTATAGAATACTGCTGATACTGATACTGCTCCCATCACCCAAATATTTGAAGAGAGAAAATTAGAGACTGCCAGAGAGACACGAGCTCTAATTAGTTTTCAGTGCATCAATCCTGAGTGGAACTACTTACAAACCCTATATTCAACCAACTATAGATGAGATAAAGCTATTATCACACTGTATCTGTAATGCCTACAGTCATGGTTCATTTCTTCACTGATACGTTGTATGTATGCATATGTATCTGTGCACATGTGTATCTGCACAAGGCATCTTTGTAAGTCTTTGTAGGTCAGGGCACAGAAAAGAGGAGGGAACCAGCTAGAGATAAGGTGCAACCGTACTGCATTTTGGAATTGGACATCACATCCTGGCATGAAATTTTCATCTATAAGCAAGAGAAAATTTAAGAGTAAAATTGCAGTGTGTGACAAGGAGGTCCAAAACCATCTCTCCCTTTTCATCAAGGAGTCACAGAATCACAGAATCACTAAGGTTGGAAAAGACCTATAAGATCATCCAGTCCAACCATCCACCTATCACCAATGGTTCTCGCTAAACCGTATCCCTCAACACAATATCCAAACGTTCCTTGAACACCTCCAGGGAAGGGGATTCCACCACCTCCCTAGGCAGCCCATTCCAGTGCCTGACCACCCTTTCAGAGAAGTAGTATTTCCTAATATCCAGCCTGACTCTTCCCTGGCGCAGCTTGAAACCATTCCCTCTAGTCCTATCACCGGTTATACAGGAGAAGAGGCCGACCCACAGCTCACTACAGCCTCCCTTCAGGTAGTTATAGAGAGCAATAAGGTCTCCCCTGAGCCTCCTCTTCTCCAGACTGAACAATCCCAGCTCCCTCAGCCGCTCCTCATAAGGCCTGTGCTCCAGACCCCTCACCAGCTTTGTTGCCCTTCTTTGAACACGCTCCAGGGCCTCAACGTCTTTCTTGCAGTGAGGGGCCCAAAACTGGAAACAGTACTCAAGGTGCGGCCTCACCAGAGCTGAGTACAGGGGAACAATTACTTCCCTACTCCTGCTGGTCACACTACTTCTGATACAAGCCAGGATGCCATTGGCCTTCTTGGCCACCCAGGCACACTGCTGGCTCATGTCAATCAATGTCAGTCAATGTCTTCAGTTGAGTTGCTGCATGTTGTTAAGTTAAAAGACATCGTAATAACTGTGATGATTACAAATGTTTGGGGTTTGGTTGGTAGTTTGTATGTTTTCAATGGTTTGGTATGATTTTATTTCATTTCCACTATTTTAGGATATGTTCAGGATTCCTTGGAGCATTTTTTGTTTATCTCAATCGCCAAGTGGTCCTGTGCATCCGGCGTCTTACAGCTCTAAGCCAGTTTCTCACCAAGTAGTGAGTGTCTTTGAATATTTTCTCCTTAGCAACTGGGTTTTGATACCCTACTGACAATAGATAGCAACAAATACTTACTAGAAGCTGTAGAACTATTTCAATTATAAAATTGTAAAAATGGGAAAAACTGAATTTATATCAGAGAAAGATATCTGCAAATATCAACATAATATATTCTGAGATGGATTTTTTTCTAGACTGGCTCCAATCATTTCAAATGGAATCTTAATTTAGAAGGAATTCTGTAATATTTATTAAGAGGAGAAAGGAAAATATTGATTGGGCAGGAAATGTTCTTAACTAGAAAATCACTGATCATACTTCTGGAGAGGCACTGGGTTCCTCTTTTTTACAATCTATAAGAGAAACAAATGCTTATATTGTAAGAAACAGAAAACAACTGAAATATAACTGCATCTTTAACATCTAAAATATTTTTTAAAATCAAAATACTGTACTACAGTATTGAAATTGTTGTATATTCAAGAGCCAAAAGCTGAAACTGATAGTAATCCAAAGGTGTGAATTGCAGCATGGAAGAGAAATACAACATAAAGTCAGATTTAGCAGTAAAGATTTTACTGACAACTTCCCCCCAAAAAATGTGGTGGACCGGAATTCAATGGAAAATAAGGCAATATTTTCCCTTAAGTACTAATGCAAGTAAGGATGCATGCGGGAATGTATGGCAGGAAGAAGAACCACCCTAGACAGGATAAATTGCATGGAGGATGAAGAGCAAGATAAAAATAATCATGACAACTGGAGGAGAGGCTGGCTTTTGACAGTGGGTCACCTCACAGTTGTAAATACACATCGCTTCCGTGTAGTCAAGACTGTGCATTTTGTACATCCCTCCCCATTATATTCATTCTGGTGGAAAAAATGGCTTTGCCACCTGCTGAACTTTCTATGAATCATGATGGTCAGTGGAGCAGGGCATTAAATAGTCAGTTACACAACTCCAAAGCATGGATAGAGATGCAGCAGAGAACTTTCACGGAAATAGCATTTATATTCCTGAAGTGATATTGCTACAAGAATATGAGGTTACATTTTAACAGACTTTTCTTTCTTTTCAGCTTCCTCATATACCCTGGATTCATAACCTTCTTTATAGCATCTGTGACCTTCCCTCCAGGGTTTGGGCAGTTCATGGCAGGAGAGGTGAGAGTGGGATGTGCATTTTGAATTATTTCTAATTCTATAGAGCAATCTCCTCTTCCCCTGTTCCCCAGTAACCTTACATCTTGGGAAGGAGAAGAAAGATTTGGGAAGAGTTTGATCTGAAGGACTATACTGTGAGACGTGATCTCTGATATCTCTTTCACATAAAACTCGAAAAAGCACCACTTTTCTAAGCAAGTAATTTAGGAAGATGTGTAAAGGTAATTGTCCTTTCACCAGTTCAGGTAAAATCACACATCTCTTCCTGAAGATCAAAATGTGAATTAAGTCTCATAATCATGACTTATTTAGGTAAAATTCTCCCCGACTTCCTCAGAACAGAGGCAGAATATTTGATCTATCTAATTTCATGCTTAATCCCTGTTGTTTGTTTGTTTGTTTTGGTTTGGTTTTTGCTTTATAGTTGATGCCACGGGAAGCCATCAGCTCTCTCTTTGATAACTACACCTGGGCAAAATACACAGGAGACCCTCAGATCCTAGGAAAATCTGCTGCCTGGATCCACCCCAAAGTCAGTGTCTTCATCATCATCCTACTATTCTTTCTCATGAAGGTACGAAGTTCAGCTCACTAACCCTTTTCCACTCAGAGTGAGTTTCTCCTGATCCTTCATTAAAAATGTATCTGCCTATAACAAGTTGCTAGGTATTGAATAAAACACTACTACAGGAATGGGGACTTATATCAATTTTTGCCTATATTGAATACAAGATTAGCAATTTTATTAGGGAATAATTTCCTGGCCTTAATACATTTACTCCTTCAGTGTTCAGTAGTTAATCTTCATTATGCATCCTGCTGAATGACTTTCAGGAGCCGCAGTTTAGTGGCTGGTAGTAAAGACTACAGAGAACAAGTCTCTCAAGGCCTGAGAAAATAAGTAATTGAGTATAAAGCTCTCACATAATTTATATTTGGCCTATACAAAGTCTGATGCTATTTACTTGGTATCTGGAAGAAGTAGACATGATAATGTTCAAAATACAATTACCAAGAAAGATTTCTGGGAGGCAAGGAGTGAAAAAATTGCAGAAATGCTTATTTATTTTTTCTTAAGAACAAGAAGAGCTGAAGCCACCTTGAAATATAAGTTGAACATTTCAGTAGATCAAAAATAGTCATTAATGATTGACACAGCTGATTCCATCTAACATAAAACATTTTATCAAATTTCTGACAGGCATCTGAAGGTTATCATTCTGTAGTAATTCTAATTACAGTGTACCAAGCAGATAGAGTCTCACTGAATAAAAGAAGGGATGGACTGCACAATGTATCTTTCTTGAGCCCCATCTGTTCTCCTTTAAGACTTGTATTCTCAAAAACTGAATTCATTGGCCTTGTCCCACTAGCTTAGGGAATGAGTGTCCAAACTTTTAGCTTGCCTGGGCTGCACTGAGTGAAGAGGAGTAGTCTTGGGCTGCGCACAAAATATATAATATAGTTGATGCATGTAACTAACAAAACTTATCTGTTAGTTATTCTTATATAGAAAGAAGAGAGTAGTAAGACCATAAAACTAGTGGGATATTTGACCTTTGTTGTGTGAAATTAATGCATCAATGGAACTGGTTGCAGTTCTTACTCAGTTCTCTAGGTGTTCATCAAACATTTTCATGAAATTTTACTCCTGCTATACTTCATCCTTGAAAAGAGTTGTTCACAACTATATGTACTTCCAGAAAGTGATGACATGAACAAGACATGACTGTGAAATGAGAGACAGGTCTAGAGACGTGACCAAATTTTTGAGTTGAATATCTGATTACAACTCTATACATTCCACTTGAAAATTTCCAGGTAATGTATTGGAATCAACTTAAAGCTGAGTCAAAAAAATACCAAGAAAAATGTGTTGGGTTGTTTGTTTTTTTTTCGGTAACCTTGAAAACTATTCTCAAATTCCAATATCAAAATGGAAAGCAAGTCTGCATATTTTTTGCTGTTCACAGGACTGTTCAACCAATGTATCAAATGCATAAAACTATTTGCCATAAGTTCAGTTGGCACTGCATTGCACCCTCCCCATGTCCTAGTTTCAGCCCAGACAGTCCCAGTCACACACCAATTGTTACAGCAGGTGCACATCTGGGGCTGGGCCAGGCTGCTTAGAAGAGAAGAGCCACTGCCATGATGGCACAGGACAAGGGGCAACCACAGGATGGGCTGGGCCAGGCTATGTGTGGGCCACGGGCCCTGGGTTGGAGGTGCCTGGCTTAGAGTTTTCTCACATCACTACATAACTGCTCCAAGTAGTTCATTTTTGGTACATACACAGTTGGGATACGCACATTAAAAAGTAACTGCAGCTTTGACTCTGGAAGAAGACTTGTCCTTATTATCCCATGCATTTTACTCTTGATTCTTAATTGTATCTGGTCTGAGCTTGGCAAGATAAAATTTAGGTGGCAGTATTCTACCTATGCAGTTTGGTGGCTTCTGCAGCCATCCAGGAACCTCTTCATTGAAGTATTCAAATGGCATATGTGAAGAACAACAGCTAGTATCAAGCTGATGGTACAAACCATTCTCCATGCATGGCATTCCTCTGCCATGAGCTGAAATATGCTGTTATGCTGGTTCTTTGCTACCTTTGTGGTAGGCTTTGTGAAATGATAGCCTGTTACTAGTTTATTTTTCCTTTTATGCCAACCAGCCTATGAGAATAAGTGCAGAAAATTTGTCTTTGGTGGATATCTTCAAATTGACTGTCTAGAGATCAATACCTCATCTGTCCACAGCTACTGCATTGTCTGCATAGGCATCACCTCATCAAGGGTGGACATTGAACAGGAATGATTTGCCTACTCTGAGGAAAATAAGGCTTTCTGGTTCTTTCTTTAGGAGAAACCTGGAACTATTGCTCTTCATGTACAGGAATGTTCTTGCCTTTCTCCTACAGAAGAAACTGCTGCAAGGGAATTGACAGTACATTTCTTTGTACAAGCTCTTGAAATAGCAACATTCTTAGTGGATTCTTCAGCTATGGAAATTTCCTGGCCTTTTGCCTAAGAAAAGCCAAACTTACTGGCATTCAAGGTGTTTGTAAGAATAGGCTGTTGCCTCCAGAAGACTGGACTAAGTCAGTATTTGGAAGTATTTGGATTGGCCTCAGCACTACTCAGCAGCCAAGAGGGCAAATCACATTCTGGGGTGCATTAAACATAGCATAGTCAGCTGGTTGAGACAGTTCATTATCCCACTGTATTTAACATTGGTTTGGCCCCACCTTGAATACTGTGCACAGTTCTGGGCTCCACAATATAAAAAGGATATTAAGATATTTGAATGTTTACACAGGAGGGCAGCCAAGCTGGTAGCAGGTCTGAAAGGCATGCCCTGTGAAGAGAGGCTGAGAGTATATTTGGGCTGCCCAATCTGGAAAAGGCCAAGAGGCAACCTCATTGCTCTCTGCAGCTTCCTGATGAGTGGAAGTAGAGGGAGGTGCTGGGCTCTGCTCCTGAGTAACAGTGGGAGAATGGAAGGGAACAGCACAAAGCTGCACCAGCAGAGGTTCAGATGGACATCAGGAAAAATGTATTTACTGTGATGGTAGTCAAACACTGGAACAGGCTAGACACAAGCTATAATAAGGGAAACTTATAGCAGATGAGCTTCAGGAAAAAATTCTCCCTTGAGTTTGGCTTCCCAGAAACTTCCCAGGAAAGCTGGGGAATCTCCACCTGTCAAGATGTTCAGAATTTACCTGGAAAAGGCCCTGAGAAAGCTAATTTAACTTGGGAATTAACTCTTCTGGAAGCAGGAAGTTGAGTGAGAGACCTCCAGAGTTCCCTTTACAGTAAATATTTTTTGAGGCTATGAAATTCTGATAATCTCATTCTATAAAATTATTAATAATAATAAAAATAAAAAAGCTGTTCAGAACAGTGGGAGATTTTACTCTCAGAAGTTCAAGGCAAAGGTGTTCTCATGTTCATTCTCTTGGTGATTTGGCTTCCCTGACAACATAGCAGTCACCCAAAAATCTTCTGCTTCATTGTTGGTATGGTGCAAAAGTTTCTCTAACTCCCCTTCACACCTCACAGCCCCTTAGCCCTTTATCTCCCAGCTGAACTGCCATATCCCTCAGATTGTATCTCCTTATGGATTTACACGTTGGTCAGTAGAGTGGGGCTGTAGGAAATGCTATTGCTACTCACTAACAACTGCACCCTCTGCCTCTGTTCTAGTTCTGGATGTCTGTCATCGCTACCACGATGCCAATCCCCTGTGGAGGCTTCATGCCTGTTTTTGTTCTAGGTGAGTTCGAATTTTATGTGTCAACATATGGATCTGACAGGTAGAAAGGACAAGAGACTGTGTATACACACCTGGTAGGCTTCTTCGAGAGGATAGAGAGTCTAGTTATCACTTCATGCCTATGACAATCTTGGTCAGCAGTTCTTATACCAGTCTCTTTTGTCCACGCTCTTATATCTAAATGCTGAGGACATCTTTATCATTTTACAGAAGAAAAGCCAAGCTGTGGAAAGGCACACTGAGTCATGGTCTTCTCATTTCTCTGACTCTTCATCTACAAAGAAACTCATACTACAGCTAGCAATAGTTGCTCCTTTCACTCCTGAAGGCCAGTGAGAAGTCACAACCTCAAAACTAGTACCTGCAATACCACTTCTTTGACAAGAGTGCAGTGACATTTGGGAATTTATTTTTCAAGTTGTCTACAAGCTCATGAAGTTCAGCATTAAGTATCCACAGCCCTTAAATTAAATGAAGTGTGTTGAAGTGTGCTTACAATCTCTGGGTTCTGGAAGGCAATAATTGAACCTGAATCAGTAGTATGCCCTTGCAGTAATGAAAGCTAACATCAAACAAAGCTATATTAGTAAAACCCCAGCCAGCAAGGCAAAGGAACAGGTTATTTCAGAGTAATCAGCATTCTGGAAACAATTCTCAAATACTATTTTGTGTCCATCCACGCAGGAAGTGTGACAAAGCGCAGTGAGTCTAGTGAAAGGCCACTGAGATTGTTGGGGAGCACAAAACAAACAAGGACAACCTGAGGAAATTGGGCTTGTTCAGTCTGCATTAGAGAAGGTCAAGAGGAGAGCTAATTGTAGGCTTCACCATCTAATGCAGCAAGGTATAAGGATGATAGAAAGACTCTTCCTGGAGACACTTAGTAAAGAGGAAGCAAAAAGCACATGTTGCAAAACGAGAAATTCTGATTGACATGGGGAAAAAATTGTTTTCCTGGTAAAGATTCCCTGAAAGAGGATGGAGAATCTCCATCACCAGAGACTTTTAAAGCAGGCTTGGTTAAGGCCCTAAGTGACATGATCTTGCTTTGAAATTAGCCATGTTGTGAACAGAACTCAGACCAAAGACTTCCAAATGTCCCTTCCCATCCAAACTTTTCTGTAAGCCTGAGACTCTAGTATTTTGGACATTCATAGAGTGAGTGCACATCAATCCTGAACTGTGATCTGGACTGACATGACACAAAATATTCTCTCTTTTAAAAGGTATTTCTTCCTGTCTGGGAATCACAAATACTTCCATGCCTGGTGCATCTAAGTGGAAGAATGAGGGTTCAATTGTATTTACATATCTTAGTACATTTTTTTCCTCTTGGAGTTTAACTTTTGTATTTTGTAACTGAAAGCTATTGTTCAGTCCTGGTGTCATTTTTATGTAAGTTTTGATTTTGTTTCTGTTAGAAATCACCCCAGTGTTTACCCAGCATAGCTACACAGCACAGACTTCATGCTCTTCAGATGTTAAATTCCATAATTGCTGGTGATATTTTCCAGGTGCTGCATTTGGACGTCTTATTGGAGAAATCATGGCATCTCTCTTTCCAGATGGGATCCTCTTTGATGGTATTGTTTACAAAATCTTACCTGGAGGGTATGCTGTCATTGGTGAGTCTTCATGTCTTCCTCTTTCTCCACTTAGTCCCATCCCCATAACTTTCCTGGCTGACATGATATTCTGTTTCTATATGACAGTCTTTCCTCTTCTCTCCCAATAACTTTTCCACCCTATCTGGGAAAGGTGCAGCAGCTCTGACAGGAGCAGTGAGCCACACTGTGTCCACTGCGGTGATCTGCTTTGAGCTGACAGGTCAAATTTCCCACATCCTGCCTATGATGGTAGCTGTCATTCTTGCCAACATGGTGGCCCAGAGTCTGCAACCCAGCCTCTATGATAGCATCATCCAGGTGAAGAAGTTGCCCTACCTGCCAGATCTGGGCTGGAATCATATAAGGTACAGCAGTAAAGCAGAGATGGAGGTGGGGAGAAAGAGACCATGGGAGAAGAAAAGGTCATGAAAAGCAGACAACATTACAAAGAAAATAAAAATACTGAATAAATCTGGGCTGAAAAGAAAAAGCAAAAAGAAAAGAAAAAAAAAAAAAAAAAAAGAGGTCAAATAGAAATTAGGTTCATACGCAGAAAGCACAAGTTTGAATCATCTGCAATATTACTAAATTTCTGTAAATATTACCAATTTACTTCAGTTTTGAAGACTTGGACATTTGGATTTTTTTCTCTAAAAATGTTTGAAATATTTTATTTGGATACTTTGCCTAAAAAAAATATAAAATCAGCTATTCACCTACATGTGTGTCTATATAGAATATATATATATAATATACGTACATATGTATGTATATATAAAACATGTATGTGTATGTGCATGCATAGAAATGTATTTTTATTGTGGAAGGTAACAGAGTGAAATAGAACTGTAATGAAAATCCATGTTGATACTGCTGCAAAATCCTCCTTGGCTACTCTTAGAGAAGATCAATTAGCAACTCTATAGAGAACACACTGGGGAACTAACCTGCTGTACATTTTTGACATTCTAACTCTTCAACTTGTCCATAAATTCGCAGCAAATACAATATCTTTGTTGAAGACATTATGGTCCAAGACGTGAAGTTTGTCTCCTCCAACTGTAAATATCGAGACTTGCAAACTCTCCTCCAAAGCACCACTGTTAAGACTTTGCCTTTGGTGGACTCACCAGGTAAGCAACTGGTCTTTCCTGAAGACTGTCTCAACTGAGCCAAAAGAAACTCTCAAATTACACACTTTGAAGAAGGTAGTGTGCTCTAATATATAACATGATTCATACTAAAACTTTCCACTATGGATCATGTATGAAATAAGATTGTTTCAGCTTTAGCAGACAGGTAAGATGGAGTCTGAGAAGTAGATATAGTATCTAAGAGTAGATATAGTATGTAAGAGATGTGGCAATTTTGACAACAGGGAGGGATCTTATATAAGAGCCTGTTTCTGTTGTTGTCAGGAGTGGCACAAATCAGGGATGGTTACCTTCCCCCAGCCCCAAAGAATATTAGCAGCAATTAGCAGGGCTAATTTTATAGCTTGTGATAGTGCTGCTTACAGCATTTTGAAGAATTTAGAAGGAGGAAAGAGCAGTGTGTGGCAAGTTACACTTGAAACCATGAGGGGACTTAATAGTTTCTCTACTCTGTTATGCAGAGACCATGATCCTTCTAGGGTCTGTAGAGCGATCCGATCTGCAGGCACTCCTCCAGAGACACATCAGCCCAGAACGGCGACGGTACCTCAACAGACAAATGCAGCAGAAGCTGGCTGAGGCACCTTATGATGGACACAGCAAGGGATCAGGAGCAACCCTGCCAAAGCTGAAGCATGAATCTTTCGTTTATGTTGATGAGGATGATGATACAGATGAGAAGGCAGAGGTGAGGGAGAAGAAAAGAGACGGCATTATAGACTGCTTAAGAAGCAGTAAGACATTTGGAAAGACTGAGAAAGAAATGACACGGGGTGGACCTTATTTTCTCTCCTTTCCATAACAGCAGCCTCAGCCACCAAGCCCCTCTCCTAGTCACCCAGAGGAGCCCAATGGCCCAACAAATCCTCTTAAACAAACGCCTGAAATTTTGGAGCCACGGCAATTCTCAGGTATGATAACTTCTGGCATGCCCCAATCACGTCCCATCACTTGCCACCTTCACCAGTGAATTATTCTGAGAAGTCTGAGAGTTGAACATATGTTCTTATTTTTGGAGTTGCTTGGCCATTTCCAAAGCTGAACAACTCCTCCCATGGATGCGTATCTCTTGGTATCAGCTTATTTTATATGAAGGACGAATACTGATTTATTGTGTTCTCTTTGTGTTACTCCGCCTTCATTAGCTTTGTTCCCAGGACTATGTTTATATCTTGTTTCTGATTCCTAAATCATGTATATTTCATACAGGATGGTTTAGTTAGTTTTTGTTTGGTTGCTTTTTTTTCCTTTGTGTGCCTTGAAATATGCAGACAGTGAGTTAGCACAGTAGTACAGCCAAATTTTCAGAATTAATACAGAGGACTGGCTCATGTTTTTAGATACCCAAATATAATATAGCCTATAATGCATTCTCAATCCTTAACACCACTTGTTTATGACTAAACCTTTACAGCATAGAAAAATCCACTTTATGCTATGCTACCCGGGCGGTACAATGGTGGAATAACAATTCACTTTCCTTACCAAATCAGAAAAATAATTACATCAAAACAAGGATATTGTGTGAGACACTTTAAGTGAAGTTAGTGCTGAGTGATTAAGGAGTCACAAAAGGAAATAGAGGAGGGATGACTTAATGAGGCTTTCCCTTCCATAATTTTTACTTTGGCTCACAGCTGCCATAGTTTCTGACCAATCTGGACAGCCTCGTTCACAACAGCACAAAGCCCTATACTTTCCCATTTGCTAATTTCTGACTGCCCTGCCTAGAATAATTCTGCAGTTATTTTCACTCCCACCCTTACACTATTAGCTCAGCCCATAGACTTCTCACTTCACTTCCTCCTAACTGTCGATTCTGGCTAATTGGTATGCTTTGATTTGAAGTCATTTTCAAATTTCCTTTCCATACTGAGCCTTTAAATCAGATTCTCCTTATGTATTTCAGAAACCCTTATAGCAGTTTCTTTCTTGTATCATATTGTTTGCTGTCCTAATAGTCTTGCTTCTGTTTTTCTCCTCAGGGACACTGATCTATTAACATCATCTGTGTGGGCTATTTTGTAATGTTTTCTTCCTTTTCCTTAAGAAAAAGATATTGCATGGAAGTATCTATCCTGGCATGTCCTAGCCATCATCTTACAAACTGATTGCTGAACTGTGGCTGGCTAAACCCTGTCATGTACAGTATAACAGTGTCCCTCATATTACTTTCTAGCCTGCCTTGGGCAAGAAGATAAGCATGGAGCTTTGTATTTTTGTCACTCATTCATTCTTGTCTCTTATCCACATCTGTTTTTATTCTTCAGACAGTTTCCGGAATTTGAGGCAACTGTTCCAGCAGCTCTTGTGCCCTTACAACCGTCGACCTGAAACACAGAGTGCTGTCCAGGTTAGGGATACAGAAAGCCTAGCAGTAGCCTGGAGAGAGAAGGGATGTGATGGAAATAGAGCCTACTACCCAGAGCCTTTCAGCATCTGGCCAAATGATGGACATACATATGGTCATGAACTCCGACAGTGTCAGTGGGGAACTCCCTCCAAGGAGAAAGGATGTGATTACTGTGAAGGAGTGTACATCTTGCTCATGAGCCATTAGTGCTCAGGTATCAAGGCTACCATCATGATTGAGTCTGGGCATCTTTCTTTCCCAGCAAATAACATCATTTCCACTAGTTTGAAACAAAGTGAAAGTCTAGTTCATTTGGCACTATTTTTGGCTAACTAAAAATGAAAAAAAGCTTTTATCTTGTGCTACATTAGATGCCCTTGAGCACCGGGTTGGTGGATATCATACTGAGTCTATGACAGATCCATCCACTTTAGTACAGTAATTGGGCCCCACGTGAAAGCATCCAAAGCAGTACTAGATGACCATGTTTAGGCACCTGACATAGGCCTTTTTTTTTTTGTATGGGAAGGAAATTAAGTATAGAGTGCACCTTTCAATGTATGAGTATGAAGAAAATCTAATAACTTAGTAATATATTAACTGAAATAAAAAGGGGCCCACAAGGTGTAAGGAAGCTATGCACATCTTTCCTTTCTGTACTCTGTGAAACCGAACAGCGTTTTCTTCTACAGGAGCCAGTGGAAGTCATTGAGACAATGACACCAGAAGAGGTAAGACTGAAAGGGAAGTAAGTCAAGTGAGTGTTTCTTTTGCCCATTCTTTATCATTAGCAGTTCTTCCCGAACTCTTAAAACAACAGTAATTGCCACATAAAACCATAGATAAACCCATTTTCTTCTTAGATTTGTACAGCAGGCAAGTCTCACCCGTTAAGAGATTTTTTCTGCTAGATGTAATGAGTAAGGCATCGAGTAATCTCATCTAGCTTTGAAATCAGTCCTGTTGTGAGCAGGATGTTAGATCAGAGGCCTTTGCAGGTCTCTTCTCACCTAAAGCTATGGGTCTATGTTGTTCCTTCATTCTTTGCACAAAGGAACAATTATCTTGTAAAGATAAGGGGAAGATGCACTCAGGAAGGAAAGCTAAGATGTTCACTCCCTGTTTAAGCAGGAAGGAGCAAAACTTCCTCTCCCCAGAAAACCTCAGAGATACTGGAATTTATCTCTTCACACAGGGACTTGATATGTTCTAAGAATAAGAAACCTGAAGGAGGAGATACAGTAGTATAGGCAGGTGGATAATCTACATTGGATGGACAAATGATTAATGGGAGAATGGGCATAGTTTGGGTACATAACCAGCAGCACTGCTGATAACGATGAGTGGTTCTCCTTTCCTCTGTCAGATAGATGCTTGGGAACAGGAGGAGCTGGAAAAGGATGTGTGCTTTGAATGCTGCCGCATAGACCCTTCCCCTTTCCAACTGGTGGAGAGAACCTCCCTGCACAAGGTGGGTGCAGACATCTCTCTGAGGCATACTGTTTTTGTCCACCATATCTATCATTAAGTATCATCTATGATATGTCTTCCCCTTTTCTTCACCCACAAGGACTTAACTGTCCTCATCCAATTATAATTAACACCAGAAATTTTCACGTCCAAATACAGGAGTAGTTTTCTTTCTGTATCTTTCTGCATGTATTTCCAGTCTCCTGGAAAAAGAAAGGCTAGAGGTTAAGAAGTTTAAGTTCCATTGTTAAAATAACTTTTGGACACACAGGACTTTCCAGCCATTGCATCAACAGAAGCAGTATATGCAATGCTGCCTGGGGGCATTACCTGGAGATACACACTGCTTTGTTGGTGCACAGCACTGGAATGATTACACCTGAATTCCTCAAGGTGTTTCTGTCAGTGTGTGAGAAAAGCTGCTTCAAACCAGTCTACCTCATAAGATTGGTCTTCACTGATCTGAAGCACAAGGAAAGAAGCAGCTAGATCACACCGGTGACCAGTGAGTGATAGGACTCAAGGAAATAGCATGAAGTTGTATCAGAGGAGGTTCAGATTAGATATTAGGGAAAGTTTCTTCAACAAGAGAGTGATTGGACTCTGGAACAGGCTACCCACAGTAGTGACCATGGCCCCAAGCTGCCTGAGCTCAAGGAGCATTTGCACAGTGCTCTCAAACATAGGGTTTGAATGTTAGCTGGTACCATGTAGAGACAGGAGTTGGATTCAGTTGGTACCTTCTAACTTGGAATATTCTACGACATGACTTCCAGAGTTAATACAGAATGACTGAGGAAAAAGCAATCACTATATAGGTACATCAGGAGTAACAGAGGATTGAAGTTTCATTAAATGGAAAGGAAAATTGGCCTACTGAAGCAAAAGCAGACAGTGCAAGTTTTTAATCATTTATTTAATGTGAACTTTATGTATATGCCTTGCACAAAATTAATTACTATTATCAAAGCGGTAAGATCTAAGCCTTTAGCAAAATAAGAAGAGGCTTATACTTAAGATGGTGTTTTCTAAAGGACTGGTTGAAGGAATCTGAAAACCACTAGTATCTGAGATTATAGAGGTTACAAGATATGATACCTAGAGATTTCCAATGAAGAACATTTCATATATCCTTTTAAAAAGAGCAATTTTCTCTTTGTCAGAGAAACTCTGAAGTAACAGACAAAAGTCAACCTAAATGCACAAGAAAAAAAACAGGAATAAGTAACCAAACTATCTGAGGTATGCACAGTCAGAGCTAAGCATGAGAATACTGACAAGAATATCACAGATCATCATGATCATATTGTACTTAAGCAGTGTGCTTTTCTTTTGTGTAAGGGTAAAATGTCTTCTGCATGAAGACTGACATTTTCCTCAGTTTACAATCAATTCCACATGTCATGTGATGCTAAAGAAAAAAATAAATACCAGCCCAGAAAGAATCACTTTGTGTAAGTCCACAGCCATAGCTCAGCTTAAAGAAATTAAAGGTAAAAAATATTCCACAGATAAGCACTGAAAATGTTTAAAGTTTCAGAAAACCTGATCTTTAAAGAATAGTAAAATAATATAGTATATGTAGGCTGGGGAAGACTGATAGAAGTGTAATATCTAACTTTTTCAGAATAGTTTCTAAGATAAAGGTATTAACTCTTTTCCTTTGTTGCCACTGCATTGGATAAACAGCACCAAGATGAAGTTTAGACAAGAAATATTCTAGAATAGGAAAAAAAAACTTCTGGTGCTAAGGAAAGTACTGGAACAAATAACCTAAGAAAGTTCTGACAATGCATATTACTATGATAGTCTTATTTCCAGCATCAAAATGAAGAGGGATCTGCGTAAATCCTTAAATGCACAGGGAGTTGTATATGAATCTCTCTTTCCAGATGGAGGATGGAAGTGATTTTGAGAATGCGCTCTGCATTATCAACACACTCCTATCTATGGAGGGGCAGCAGAAGGACCAGAGATTAACATTTGCTAGCTACAAAGGGGAATGAAAGCAGTAGTTTCTCACTTTGGTAACTTGTATGCCTTTGGCATTCCTGTTTCTAAATCCTAAGTCCCAAGGTATCACATAGCACCAGGTATCACATTACCAGTTTTCAAGACTCCTGAATTTTTTTGTGTGTGTTCTTCCTTAGACACATACATTGTTTTCATTACTGGGCCTCAGCCATGCCTACGTAACCAGTATGGGGAAGCTGAAGGGAGTGCTGGCTTTGGAAGAGGTAAGTACAGATACTCTCAACTCCTAATCAAATGCAAATGTCTTGTGGATCATTGCAAAACACTTACAGGTTGGAGATCCAGCTTGGAGTATATAACTGTGCTTGCTCCATTTTCAATCCAGTGTTGAATTCTGACTCATCACTCTAAGAGCTATGTAGAGGAAAGGATTGGATATTTCAGATAAAGCAGCAGATGTTATTTACAGGCACATTAGACTGTTTGTCCTTTTCCTGAAAGTAGACCTCTTAACTGAGCAGCTATTATTGTCTCAGTAGTGCAGGATTTGTTATTTACTGTGGACTAATTACAATACCTGTGTGAAAGATGATCTCCTCAGGCCCCATCGCTTACACAACGATGTGACTCTATCTTTGAGTCCTTTACTCTGGAGAGCTGATGAACTTCTGGGTAGGGCTTAGTCAGCCTTCCTTTCATCAATTTTTCTCTGAACTTTTTCTCTTCTAATAGCTTCAAAAGGCAATAGAGGGCTCCACACGCTCTGGAGTTCGCCTCCGCCCTCCCCTTGCCAGTTTCCGTGACACAAACAGGACTTCAATCAGCGGTGAAAAGGTCAGCCAGGGTGCTCAGGTGTGGAGCCAGCAGGACAACAGCACGGTGGCAGCGCAGCAAGCAGCAGACTTGGGGACAAAGAGCACACTGCCTCTCTACTCACACTCTCCACAGCCCTCTCATTTACATGATGAAGGGGAAGGCCTGTGTTCCAATTATGCCACCGATACCGAGTTGGAAGAGATGGAGCTGGCAGGACCAGTTAATGAAAACATCTCAGACATCCTGAAGGACATCAGCCTACACACCACTGATCTGGATGAAGATGAGGATGAAGATGTCCCCTTATAGGTGGTGTGAGGGCATAGCCCATCGTGTTGAGCCAGTCTTGCGTACGCTCCTCACAGCTTTTGGATGCTCTTTGTAAACCCCATAGAGAATTGATTCAGCTGGGGGAAGGAACATAGGACTTAACCTTTTTTTCTGCTGCTTTATATACAAATACCACTTGGGTTATTGAGCTGTGTACAGGAGTCAGATGTAGTCTGCAAGGTGACTAAGGGCAGGCTCATAATGTTAAAGGCCTCTGCTTTCACTTGTGGTGAGCAAGCATCTACATAACATGTCAGAAAGGATCATAAGAGGACACGAATATTACTGGACATAATCAGGATGCCCTCAGTCAATCTGCCATATGGAAAGTGGAGGGGTTGCAAATCTTCTCCACTAGTGTCATCCTTATTGTCACACCTGATATGAATGCACCAGTGCAAACCAGACCTCCAGCCAAGAAGCATACTGCTACTTCTGTCTGCAGTCCTGTCTATGTTGTTCCTTTTGGCTAGCTCTTAACTTGCACACCCCAAAACATTCCCATCTAGAACATTTTTCCTCTTTCTTAATTTTTACTCTGGGATCTTCCTGGGTGGAACTGCAGTTAGATGTTTCTCCACTCACCTTTAGCAGAGCCATACCCTAAAATCAGGTGGAAGGAAAATACTTGGTCTACATCTTGGGTCTTGAATTCAGCCAGGGCTCAAAGAAAAGCACTGAAAGTGAGGAAAGCCTCTGTCTTCCCATCTCTAGAATTTTTAAATAGAATGTGAAAATCATAAACGGCGGTATCCTCTGTTGGAGTGAGAGGAGTAAAACATCATGTACGCACCTATATTTCAACAACTGTCTCTCAAAACAACTGCTGGAATTTTTACAAAGTTATAGTCTTAAAATACAAGAACTTAAAACTAAAAAAAAAAACTAAAATAAAAATGGAGTGCCAAGAAATACAGGAGAGGGAAGTCACATTTTCTATGCTTTGGAAACAGGTTCATCAATAAAACTCCTGCTCTTTTTCCTGATAATTCTACTCTATTTATTTTCCACATATTTCTGCATATAATAGATCAGAGAATTCTAGGTCCCACTTTTCCCCGTGTCTCCACTGTGACTGGAAGTAGAGACTACAGTCCTTGTCTACAGCATCCCTCTATTCCAGATGTAGATCTGGAGGAGATCTTGATCTGTATCTTGCAAAGAGATATCTCATAACTTAATGTCATGGATGCAAAACCTTAGTATCCAAGGGTAAGATGTTGCTTTAACTCACTGTCCTCTTGGGTTATTCTCAGTAAACATACAGAATTTGATTTGGCCTATTCTGCAGCTTTTCTCTGACATTCTCCTTCTCTTTCTATCATACTTTCAGTGTGTCAAAACACTTAGATGTGATCCCAAGTAGGCTATTGAGTGTGTTTTCACTTATTGGCAATACAGAAAAAAATTCAGGGTTTGAGAACATATTCTTGGGAATATTCTCCTGGATTTTGAGCCACATCCCCTTCCTTGATATTTATAAAGCATTATCTGACTTAGAATGACCAGTTTCACCTCAATGGATGGTTTTCAATAAGCTGTTTCAAAAGTAAGTTAAAAAGACAGTTACCTTGAACCTAGTCTCCCTAGGAAAATTCCCTTCTGACTTTAATTCCAAGGACTGACTTTGTACTAATTCACTCTTCTGATACTCATGGATGGAGAAGTCTGGTAGAGTGAAATCTCTCAGAGTTTCTTGGAGAGGGAGAGATTTGCTTTTGTTCTCTGAACTCAAGAGCTCAATAGCCTACTTTGTATTCTTTTACATGATTCCTCTGTGCTACCTAGGGACAGCCTTTCTTTGTCTGAAGTGATCTTCACTCCTTTGAGGGCCACTCTGTCCTTGAGAGAAGCCAGTAGCAATATGAAGGCAAGTCTTTCACTCACACCAGCTGCCTGCCTCCACCTGAGGTTTGGGGCACATTTCTGACAGCCAGGCATTAGAAAACAGCCTGTAGTTGCTACTTTCGTGCCACCTTCCCCTCTTTGCAAAGAAGAGACAATACAACTGCCATTTTTCCCAGGTAACTGTGATAAACCTTGGTATAAGCAGAGGAGAAATAACATTCCTTTCAAATATCCATAAACGCACAGTGAGTAGTAATATTCTGAGACCAATTATGACCTGAAGGTTGTTCACACATCCTCAGGAAGGACAAGTTGCTCTGATTCAGCCCCTACCAGCAAGTACAGATTTGGTTTTACCACATTTTGCTTAGCAAAACAACTGCACTGAGATAAGATGGAGAAATTTAGAGGCTGATGTCAGTGCAGCTCTGCCGCTTCTAGTTTGAATACAGATACATGTTTTGCTCCAGTCCCCCACTTCTCCTGTAGTGTATTAACAGAAGAACATGGGTTTGACTGGATGGGAGAGCAGATGGAATCTAAATCAGAGTCAGAGAGTGCATGAGTCATGACAGACAGGTTGTGAGCTGGGGGAGATGAAGCTAGAACAAAAAACGATGCACATGGAAGGGCTTGGAAAGCTCACAATAAGAAACAAGCTAACCTGAAAAGTTTCGTGAGGTCTTACATGAGGGTACAAGGGCATATACACGCATGCCCGCACATACACACACATGCATCTCTCTTCCTGTTACTCTTAGCTGTCTCAGAGTAACTTTGATGAACTGGACTGCTCTCTGTGGGGAAGCAGAAAGCAGTAAGGTACATGTTATTACTGCTGCTCTGTGGAGACATCGCTTAAGATCCATTCCAGGTATGTCCCACCCTTTGAGCAGAAGCAGTATTCATCCATGTCATTTTCTCATCTGAGAAAAATTATGCATACATGAATATGGAGCCAGGAGGAAACAAAAAAACATACTGCAAAGATGACCTGTGATTTCTGACAATGTTTCCTCTTCCATTTTTACTATAATAAAATCTTCTCTGAGTTGATGCCCAGTATTTTAGTAGGTGTGAGATATCCAGTTAGCTGACACTGAACTTTTGTCAAGAAAATTCTACATCTGCACCCTCTTGGGTAATCCCAGTACACTCCTCCGAAGTTTAAACTTGAAACTTCTGTCCTACATACAAAGCATCATTGATCAGTCACTATAATACCTGTATCTCTCATCCTGTCAAAGTCTGACAGAACACACAGAAATAATTTTTCTCCCAAATAAAATTGTCCTGAAAATTTGTTTCATCAATGAGACCCTCCTCTTCATTGAAAAAATCAAATCTCAAAAATCCAAGTTCAAGCAAGCCTTGAGAAACAAGAAGCTCTGAAGCTGTTTTGAACAACAGAAGCTTGCTTTTCTCCTAGATAATCTGTGCAGTTGCTTAGAATTACTTATTTTGGGCAAAGTTTTGTGTCACACCAAGCTTGCCATTATCACTCAAAGTGCTGAAACAGAGTTCATCTTGTTCAGCATTTTCAACTCCAAGCACATGCTGAACTACATTTGGTACCCAACATATAAGGAAATACTCTGAGAAGAACATGATAGTTAAAAATCTCCATCAAAGCAGACATTTTTAGGTAATCACCACCACACACACACATACAAAAAGCCATAAAAAATCACCCTTTTGCCTTGTATTCTCAAGAAAAATGGAATCCTACTCTCATCTAATTGCCAGCTTACTGTTTTTCAGTTAATGAGTGCATGAATATATGAAATTCTAATCTACCAAAACTTGGAAGTCTTCCTTTTATGTGGCATTTAAATTTGAAAGCAGAAGTCTTTTTTTTAAAGTCATATGTAAGTTAAAAATAAAGAAGGCAAGACTAATATGACAATGGATAAGGCTTTGGGTAGTTATGACAAGGACAAACACACACATACACACACACACAAATATCACAGAATCACAAAATCGTATGAGTTGGAAGGGACCTCTGGGGATCATCAAGTCCAACCTCTCCACTAAAGTAGGTTTCTAGAATATGTTGCATAGAAAAATGTCCAGGCAGATGCTGAATATCTCCAGAGAAGGAGATTGCACAACCACTATGGGCAGCCTGATTCAGTGCTCTATTACCCTCACAGTAAAGAAAGCCTTCCTCGTATTTGTATGGAACTCCCTGTGTTGTAGTTTTTGCCCATTGCCCTTGTCCTGTCACTTAACACAACTGAAAAGAGCCCAGGCCAATGAGATCCTGATCTTTAGGTATTTATAAGCAGTAATGAGATCCCTTCAGTCTTCTCCAGGCTGAAGAGTCCCATGTCTTCTAGCCTTTCTTCATATGGGAGATGTTCCAGCCATCTCTGTGACCATCTACTGGACCTCTGCGGAGCCCAGAACTGGACACAGTACTCCAGATGTGGCCTCACCAAGGCAGAGTAGAGGGGGACCATAACCTCCCTCAACCTGCTGGCCACTCTTGTGATGCACCCCAGAATACTATTGGCCTTCTTGGCCACAACAGCACACTGCTGGCTCGTCACTCCATCACCCTTTCCAAATCATGCGTTTGCAGTAGCAGACAGGTCTATAATTGGGTTGCCTGTGTTATGAGCCAAATCTCTCCCCTTCAGCTTGTTGGAAGTCCTGATGCAGCCTCATTGTGCTAGAGACAATACTGTGAATATTCACTGGGATTAGCACAACTAATGAAACCAGTCTTAGACAAACCTACTACTAGTTTGAGCACTGGGCTTTCAGATGTGCTTTTGCTAATATCCAAGCAGTTTTGGTGCTGCCTGTGGAAACTTCTTGTGCTCCACAGTAAAACTAGTTACTGAGACACATCCAGCCAACTTAAAAGACTGGACCTGACATACAGAACAAAAGATGCAGAGGAAAAGTCCAGTAGCAAATTTTTAAAATAAACCACTTAGAGGAAATGCTTGTAGTGCATCTACATGAATTGCTTGCTTTATACAAGCTACAATCTAAAAGCTGTTAATATCTGGCTATTCAGTGAATAGTTACATATTTATTTTAAAGGACAGATGATAAAATACAAGACCTACTTAAATGGTGGTCAGAATTAAAGTCACACAAGCTCAAGTTAGAAACTTCACAATTATTCTGCATAGCAAGAAACGGAAAATACAGCAATGAGAAGCTTATGAGAAATACAGCTGTGAAAAAAAAAAAATTCCTTTTCCCACCCTCAGATTTCTATTGTGCATTTAAACAAATAGGCTTTGGGAAAAGAAAACAAAGAAAAAAGTAAAGAAAAAAAAGGGGGAGGGGGGGGAGAGGGGAAGGTTGTGAAGGTTGTGGAATGGTTGGATTATGACCAAATTTGTCACATAATTGGATTTATTTAAACTGAAAAACTAAAACAAACAAAAAAACCATCTGGCAGCTTGGAGCCATGCCCACTACCCTGGGGGGCCTGTTCCAGGGCCCGGCCACCCTCTGGTGAAGAACCTTTCCTAACTCCCCATCTGCCCTCCCCTGACACAGCTCCATGCCGTTCCCTCGGGCCCTGTCGCTGTCACACAGAGCAGAGCTCAGCGCTGCCCCTCCGCTCCCTGTGAGGAGCTGCAGCCGCCATCAGGCCTTCCCTCAGCTCTGCTCTGGGCCGAACAAACCACAGGACCTAGAGCTGCTCGTCCAGACCCTTCACCATCTTCACACCCCTTCTTTGAACACTCTCTAGTAGTTTTACTTCTTTCCTAGATGGTGGTGCTCATATTTGCACACAGTGCTCAAGGTGAGGCTGCACAAGAGCAGAGTGGGACAATCCCTTTCCTCTCCTGCCTGGCAGTGCTGGGCCTGATGCACCCAAGGGTGTGGTTGGCCCTTTCAGCTGCCAGGGTACACTGCTGACTCAAATTCAACTTGCCGTCAGCTTCTTGACCCACAGTCTGTAAAGATAACCAGGGTTGCCCCATCCTAGGTGCAGAATGTAGCACTTGCTCTCATAAACTTATGTAGTTGGTGATTGCCCAGACCTCCAATTTGTTAAGGCCTCTCTACACTCAAGGGAATCCATGGCTCCTCCCAATAGTATTATCTACAAAATCACTTAGTATAGCTTTGAGTCCTACGTCCAGGTCACTTACGAAAATATTAAAGAGCCCTGCAGAACTCCACTAGTGACTTAGACACCAGCCTGACATAATTTACTACAATCAAGACTGACCCATCAGCGAGCTGTTCTATCTATCATATTATGTATCTGTCTATCACTTGACATTTTGTCCAAGAGGAGGCTGTGAAAGATATTATCAAACGCTTTGCTGAAATCCAGAAAGATCACATCAACTGGCTTCCCGGTCAACTAAGTGGGTAAGCTGGTCATAAAAAGAAATTCAGTTCATTAAACAGCACTTTCCCCTTGTGAACCCATGTTGGCTGTGATCACTGACTACACTGTCTTTCAATAACTTTCAGAATAACTTTCTCCATAATTTTGCCAGGCACTGGAAGTAAGACTGATAGGCCTATAATTACCCAGGTATTCTTTATCGCCCTTCTTGATTACTGAGACGATACATGCCAGCTTTCAGTTGACTGGGTACTCTCCAGATCCTCAAGATTGTTGAAAAATAATGGAGAGAGACGTCACATGATGACACTGGTGAGCTCTTGGAGTATCTTGGGATGAATCCCAGTGGGCCCCACAGACTCACGGGTATCCAGCCAGAGCAGCAAATCCTATTCAGGTTCAAAAATGGATAGAAGTTTATCATGATCACAGTCCTCCAACTCAGGGCTCCAGCAGTCCCAGAGCCAAAGACTAAGGCAAAGAAGGCATTAAACTTCTCTGCATCCCTATTTGTGAGGTGATCATCCTCACCAAGTAGCAGATCAGTGTTATCTCTGGTCCTCCTTTTGTTGTTAGCTTATGGCACAGAAGTCATGAACTTTCTGAAGTACTATTCGTGGAAAATACCCTCGTAGCTGGCAAAATGCAGAGCCAGTGAGGTGTACAGCATGAATTTTCTTATGCCCTTTTTATTTACTCTTTTCATTACTGACTTGAAAAATATGTGAGATAACATAAGACAATAAAATGTGAGAAACAGAGCAAATTTGCCATCTTGTCTAGAGAGAGGAATAAGAAAACAGTGTGGATGAGACACCGGGACAGATACCACAGAGTGAAGATCATGCTGGGGCTCAGAAGCTAAATCCAGAGGATAAGTACTTAACTGAGGAATAAATCTAGACTTGGATGATGATAAAAGAGTTCTGATAGGTGTAGCACTCAGTAGTTGCACATCATCTCTGTAGCATCATCTTAAATTCAGAAAACAATTTTCCTATATTTAAGGTACCATTTCTAAGCTCAGGAGACATGTTCTTTTTCCAGGGGCTCAAGTGCAATAACTGATTTTGTTCAAGACTCTGCATTTAGATGACTATTTAGATGCCATTTGGAGAAAAAAAAAAACCACAACAACCAAACAACACACAAAAAGTAAATACTAGGATACTAGGGACTTACAGGACTGGAGGAAAAAAATGTAAGGAGTTAAACTAAATCACAATTAACTAAATGAATATATTTATGCAGACACGTATACCAAAAGATGGGTGGGAATCTATCCAGTAGGCAAAGGTATGTAAAATGAAAGGAAATTAATTTTGAACAGAAGACAGCAAGCAAAGATCAGCTAAAAATTCCTTATTACAAAATAGAGTATGCCTTAAACAGGGCAAGCAACACTGCTTAAACCCTGAGAGAATCAATGGAAAAACACAAGTAAATATCTTCATGACAAAATAAGTATCTTTCATGTTTAGAACTTAGAATTCTCATACAATTTACAAAGTGCTACTGGATTTGGCCCAAAATCCTTTAAGAAGAGGCAGACAACACAAGAATACTGGAATTTCAGAAATGCTCCATTCTCTCTGGATTAATCAATTCCCCCAACCTGCTATCAAACAGCAGTCCAAGAAGTGCCAATTTAAAAATAAAACATGAAACCAGAGTGTTGCTATTCATGATCAGTGCCTGTACCACCCCAGAATCAGACACCTCTTTATGTCCCATCCTAACCTACTGTTGCGAATCTTCTGTCCAACTGTAGTAGGTGTGTCAGCATATCACTAATTCCAGGATAAGACTTACACATCTCATATGAAAAATGCCCTTACAGTGTAACAGGAAAACTCACTCTGCTAAACTAGAAGATCCTGTCAGTGTGACTGTATCATATTTGTCACAATGGCCAAGAATTTGTTTCAAGGTAACCACAGACACACATGAGATTTTAACCCTGTGTAGCAGAACATGTGATGTTCTTATATTCTCAGTGAGAAACAGTATATGATGGTCTACTCTAGGAAGTTTCTTCAAGCCACGTGCATTCTTTTCAAGGTTTTCCATCAGAGAGACTAATTGAGACCCACCCCCTTTCCTGAGATCATCCTTCCTCAGACGCAACTCCCCTGTCCCACAGAAATAAAACACTTCCACCAGCCAGGATGGCAAGACCACATTCTGTTTAATAACAACTCCATAAAGGACTGTACATGCTATTTTGAGCTACCTCCCCTATGTGGTTGCTGCCACATACAGGCATGGAGGTGTATAATGCCATACAGTTTCCTAAGTCTATATGTAGTGTGTGTACATGTATGTATGTGTATGTATGTATTTGTATATGTATGTATTTATATATATATCTTCGTAGAAGTGTTATCTCATAAGTCACATTATCAAAACATGCGAAGTATATTCAACAAAACTTTTCAGGCAAACATGTTTTGGAGCTGGAAGACCAAAGGCAAATCATCATTAAGGGCTAGGTAGGGATGAAAGCTTACAATAGTGGACCTCTTCCTCTTTTCGTTTTACTTCCATTCATTCCATACTTTCCCACCAAACATTAGTGCATCTCTGTAAACACTAGTTTGAAAGAATACAAATAATCACCATGCAGCCTTCCCCTACAGAAAATGTGTACAGACTGGTCTTAAAATTGCTTTGCTGCAACTTCCATTGTCCCATACACTCATGATAAAGCAGTTTCAGAAACTAAGAATACAATACCTGGAGTCCCAAACCTTTACTTACTTTTAAACATGCTCCAGGAATGCATTCCCCGTTACACCCCAAGAGTCCCATCAACCACCCTTGCATCTCCCAGATCCTCAGTCTGGACCTTCCTATATATGAAAAGAGCTGAAACAAGATAAATTCTGTTCCCTGTGAAATTACTTCTGAGTTCCTACCTTATTGTCTAGGAATTCCCAGAGACCTCCAATCATGAACAATATCCACAAACCAGAGAGGAGAAAACGAAGCCAAACAAGAATATATGCCTGCAAAAGAGCTTTTGGCTTGCTACATTGCTCACATGCAATATCCAAAAAGAAGTGAAGTCCACCTGCATTTGCCCCATGGAAGCTCAAAAGACCTTTAGAAAAGGGTTCCTAACCTTTTAACCTGCAACATATCACTGGAGTTCCATGCCTAATGAAAATGAATCCAGCAGACTAATAAATCTGTACTAGATGATTTTATCTCATTACAAGTAAATCTTCATTCACATATTCTTGTTTCCATCATGGAGAAAATCCATTTTAGATTTTTTGTCTGACTAGCACGGACATTTGCTCCCTTAGGGAAAAGCAGAAACAAGACTAGCACATGCAAAACATCCCCAATAAAAACAGATAACATTCTTTTTACAGAACACTGCAACTCCTCTGTTCCTAGAAGACAGCAGCTACCACTCATCAGTACATAAGTCTTTTGATATCTGCACTGAGAGCCTTCTTACTTGAACAAGTTTTCATAACTTTAAGAAACAAGTCTCCACAGTTTTAGTAAATATACTCTTTCTCAGAGTCCTGGTCTAATTTTTTCCAATTCCAGCGTTGTGTATCTGCACTGACAAAAAACAAAACAAAACAAAACAAAAACCAATTAACCACCTTTTTCTCTCCATAAGATGGACCAACAACAAACATTTATAGAGCTTCTCTTGATTATCAAAGAGAAGATACCACTTTTTTCCCTGTGTTGGAGAAAAAAGTAAATAGACCCTAATGTTGTAATGCAAGTCTCCTGTTTCCATTTCTTAACATAATAACTATCTGTCCTCTTTCCCACCCCAGTTAATTCTTGCTCAGGCTTCTAGATGCATTCTGAGATGAAGAAAGACATTGCTCTAACACAGATGTCAAGTTTCACTCTTCTGTTCCTGTGCAGATTCACTGCTATTTAGTCTGCTAAACAACTGTAATACAGAAGAGGTACCTGATGTTGACTTTGCAGCCTGCATTCATATTTGAGACTGTGCTTTAATGACTGTAGGCTGTGCTACACATATGTTTAGTTCTAATAGGCACTACTTTACTAACATGTTCCCTGTTTATTTTTTCCTTTCCCTGAGCCATGGCATAGCAATTTTTCCCTGTCAGATTACTACAGGGGAGCAGAATCAAATTCCCAATGAATCCGTTACTTATATTTTTCTAGTTTTAAGCTGGTGTTGCTGATAATCTCGGTATTGAAATGGGTT